TCCTGCCTTTTCGAGAAGTCTCTACTTGCCATGTTGCAAGATTTCATACACAATCATTCATGTTCATTTGATCAAGTATGTTTCAATTATTCACGACAAAACCTTCAGATGCACCACGTTGCTAAAACAAACAATAACAAGTTAACAACGGTCGAACATCTAGAACACAGTTGCCAATTACTAACAACAAATATTATTTTCAGTGAGAATTACTGTCAATACATCCGCCTGTATTTGAGTCCTACTATTGATATATAAAACGCAATATAACAAAAACATTATTTTTATTTTATTTTAGTCATTGTTTAGGAGCAGTCGATTGGAGAGTGACATCACGGATATTCGAATACCAAGTTAAGGCTCGATGGTTCGTAAAAAATAACCATGTCATTCATGAAAACTACTGCCAGAGGTACTTATCACGTAAGTTGAACGAGGTCATTTATTCACCTGTTTCCCTGCTGATGTCATAAAAGTTCGACTTGCAGCCTCGGTCTGTAGCTAAGGGAACAAAAATTCATAAGATTAGAATTCCTCTTCATTTACGCCCGCGCTTGGCGCATCTCTTTAAAGGTCACATGCAACCAAAAAAATCAAACATAATTAAAACACAATTATCACTTCTTCATGACATATAATATGCATTGCTGATTATGAAAAAACAAATAAACAAAATTATAAGCGTATAATCGCAAATCAAAAGTGCAATATTTTGTACTTGGGTTTACCTCCCTCGAAACGAAGCAGCCGGGATACCGAACCCAGTCAGAGCGGGTGGGTGTGCACTCAAGTGTAACGGCTGGTTCATTAGCAAATGCCGCCTTCACGGCTCATGTTGGGTTTTGTAAATACATGCTCATTTTTTTGTGTATAACATTTTGCAATCAACAGACATCATAACATGTCATGTGTTCAAGTATCACACCTGCCTGTCTGTGTAATTACATAATGTGACAGAGACCGAACTCGGGCCATAAATCAATGCGTTTTGTTTATGGTGTATAGCCTGATTGGTGTTAAGTTCAAATTGCATGTGGTCAGTGATCGCAGTTGTGTATTGAATATTGTCATTAGCAGACAGGCAGGCAGACACACAGGTGTCAATAAAACAAGACATTGAGTTTTGTCTGTGACAGCGACATATCTATATCACAGTTAGAAATTCTGTCAACGCTAAATAATGACATTGCTTTTAAGTATCGAACTGAGAAAGTGACTCGGTAAGAAGAACGTGTGGTGAAATAGACAAATGAAATTATATAAACAGTTTATTTACTCTCATAACATATAAAAAAGCTCGCGCCTGTGAGATATCAACAAAACATTATGAAAATAGCTCACACCAAAGCCTTCACCGAGTATTCACCAGACAGCCCGCTTCCAAGTTGCGCGAACCTATTTCACTGCGCACATGCTATGAGCGCAGCCCAGCTGTTGAAACCCGTATTCCCCAGAAAAAGTCTGGGGAAAATTAGGGAAACGTTTGAACTCCGATTTCGCGCGTTTTTTTTCATCGCGTTATTTTTCAACTTTATAAGCTGAATTTGCATTTTTGACGCTTTGTTTCGGTAAGTCCATACCGAAAGGTATCAGAATCTGCAAAGTTGTGTTTTACGTTGCATGTGACCTTTAAGACAGCATGATATTAAGTAGTAGCGGTAGATTCACTCTACTCCCTCGCCCTGAAATTGACACTGACAGTAAAACAAAACAATGTGAGTTTTTTCTCCAATAAAAAAAACTAGAATTCCAGCTTCATCAATAGTCACAGCCAGCCGTAACAGCTAACACCAATTCCGGAGAAGCCATCTTCGGTTTCAGCACAGAGACCCCTGGTGTCTTAGTGTCCTGTGATGGCGGCTCTCGCGAGACTTCAGCAGCAAACTGGGCATTGGGGAGTCGACGCACGGACGAAACAGTATGACAAGGGAGCGGAATATTAGATTAGCGGGATAGCGTTTTTGTATTCTTCTTGCGGAAATGGCCGTCACTGGCTCTCAAGGGGGTTGGATATGTGATAAAGGGATTCTACGGGCGTTATCTTGCTTGTTGCGCCTATCTATCTCTACACGTTGATACCATTTCGTCACGGAGCTGCCTTTAACTGATCCAATAATGCAAGTGTAGACGATCTTGTTTCAGTACAGTTAAAGCATCATACATTGACTCATCAGTATCGTAACGCCCGGCCGCGTGCTCTCGGTGATATAAATGGGATGCGGCTTTTGGCTTAATGCTGCATCGATTACATTTAAACAATGTTAATTTCAGATATTTCTGAATATGTTATCATCGATCGATGTCTGTTTTGACGGGGCGTGACAACTGTGTGGTTTGAATACACTACATGCGCAAGAATTCGTTTCACTTGCTAGATTTTCATATCTTTAAGGATTTTGTCATTTCCCAGAGTCCAACAATTTAATAAGGCGGGCATTTAGTAAAGATATGTCAACATATCGGAATCATTGCCTTTGCTTCTGCAGAATATCCGCAGTAATTTCTGATAGATTTCGTGCATATTTCAAATTCCATATTCCTCAGAAATTACTCGGAACATATACGGAGATTCCATAGTCATTCCTCCGCGAACTGGCTAAATCTGGTGGTGATTCTGTTGTTTTCGAGGTGGCTTCAGTTTCTGATAAATTCTGGTAGATGGTTTCATTGCCATTCCATGGGAAATCTGGCTCAGTCGGTGTAACCGAATTTTAATGCTTGTCCAGTTTTGCCGATAAGACCATCTTTGTCGTGAAGGGATTTATCTTGGTATATACATTTGCCGCTCGTTTTGACTCTTAGAATAAAACGACCCGTGAACATCCGGGGTAGAATAGGTCTTCAGCAACCCATGCTTGCCACAAAAGGCGACTATGCTTGTCGTAGGAGACGACTAACGGGATCGGGTGGTCAGGCTCGCTGTCTCGGTTGACACATTCATCGGTTCCCAATTGCGCAGATCGATGCCCATGCTGTTGATCACTGGACTGTCTGGCCCAGACTCGATGATTTACGGACTGCCGCCATATAGCTGTAATAATGCTGAGTTCGGCGTAAAACTAAACTCACTCACTCACTCTTAGAATAAATCACACATTCAATGTGAGGTACCAGTCCGACTTCTGTGCCAACAACAAAATATATCCACAAATATGTTGCCTCATGCTTTATTATAGATGTAGTACTTGTTTTACTTGAAACGATGTGAATTATCATCATATATAATAACCTTACATTCATGTTTCAATTAAGGTAAATCATTCTAATGTACTGCTATTTATCGTCCACCTGGACTTGGAATGGATGCTATTTGCGCTCATACGTAACTGTTTATATTGCCCATTTAACGCACTGAGTCCAGTACAATTCCTTATGTGTGACGCTAGTGCATGGATGTGATACGGACACCTGCTGGTTCCACCCCGCGGTCATAGTTTCCGCCATGCTTGTTCTTCGTTGCGACTTGTGGTGTTTTAGACGACTGGGCGACCCGCGCCCTTCGCAAGATATAGGTCGGCAGTAAGCATAACAGTCTATGAATATTGACGCTAATCTTCATAAGGGGCCATGTCGATCGTGACATGAAGGCGGAATAATGTCAGACAACGTCCCCTGTGTATGTAAGCTCCCGTTACCCTGCAATTACCCCGCTGTCTACGTTCCTAGCGGTTCGTTCTGCCCGCTATCACCAGCCTCATCAGCTCTTATTCTATCCTTTCATTCTACAAGATTAGCCCGACTTACATCTGGACTGGCGGCTATGGGAGGCAATCACCGAGCCTGCCAATTTCAGTGTTCGTGCATGACTAAGGCTCATCTGACTAGGACTTCCAAAGGACCTTGGAAGCTCATGGAGGAGATATTTGGTGATGAGGTTGTAATGAAGCCGAGAGTTCGGCGTGATCAGCGACACTCTCCCAGTTATTTTACACTGGGTCAGGGCGTCTAGGGTGTGAGTGAAGAAAGTTTAGGTCATCACATTGACTTGACAGTGTTCGACATTAGTCATCTGTTTGATTCAGTTATACACTAGAAGAATGAGATTCCCTGGTGTGAGTGCTCATGTAAACAAACATTTAGAAGAGATGTCCCAGTGAGTGGTTTGGTAGGTTACAGATTCACTGTTTTTCAGTTGATTCGGTCTTGCAGACATCGAATTATTGTCGTTTCAGAATTTACAAATTTTTATTATAGAATAGTGTGGATATTATCAACCACTCTAGATAATTCACGTATTCCATGCACCTGCTCATCGCTATTTATAGTCGCTCCATTACAATGGAGCGGAATAGGGGCGTGGTCCTGCCGTGAATCCTCACGATGACGTTTTACTTCCCTCTCGAGTTGAAACGGATATGAAGACCTTTCGAGAATAGGAGACTGCGATAGTGGTCTTAAGGTAGGAGAGGAGTAATACTAGATGAGCGGGTTTTGGGTAATTGCCGTTCCCCAGTTAGTCTGTCTCACAGTCCCTGAACCGCGAAATTTCTGCAATGCTAAATCTCTTAATGCAGCAAGTCTAGATTTTCCTCAGGTTTTGTATCTCCCATCTCACTTAGCATCCTTTACAATTTAAAAGGAATTATGTCTTTTTATTTCTATCTAATTATACATATTCGAGAATAAGCGTTAGTCTTTTTCCCGATCAGCGAGGAGTGAACACCGCCCTACAAGATTGTAACATGCATTAATCGTTACTCCCCATCTCTCTCTCTCTCTCTCTCTCTCTCTCTCTCTCTGTCACCTACGCAACCAACTCTCTCAACACTCTCTCTCTCACTCACACATGTCACACGCACACCAACTCTCACACACCCCACTCACACACACACACACGCACCAACTCCCCCCTCACCTACACAACCAACTCACACACACACCAACACACACAAACAGCTTACGCACGCACTCTCTCTTTCTTTCCCTCACTCACACACACAGACACGCACACACACACACGCCAACTATACCGGGTTCTCAGTCGCTGCTCTTTGTTTCAGATGTACGGCATCACGTCCTTCCTGTTCGTTGCTCTGTCCATCGCCGGCTTCTGTCTGGAGACGTTGCCGTCCCTGAGACCGATGACCAACGTGACGACCAAATGTGACGGCGTTGACAGCATATCCAGCGTTATCACCTCACACGAGGCTCTCAACATCATCGACGTGATCTGTACCGTCTTCTTTACACTGGAGCTGATATTAAGATTTACGGTAGCTCCGAATAAACTGAAGTTCGTACGTTCGCCAATGAACATAATTGACCTTCTGGCTTTGATTCCTCTCTACGTTCAGATTATATTCGAAAAATCGGATCAAAAAGCCTGTTACCTCAACGAAAGACTTGTGATTGAGATTATGTTCATCCTCAGGATCATCCGGATGTTCCGCATCTTCCATCTTGTGAAGCATTACCAGGCGCTGAAGGTGCTGGTGTATGCACTGAAGGCGAGCCTCCAGGAGTTGATGATGCTCTTCATCTTCCTCATGATCGGGATGCTTGTGTTCGCCACCATGATCTACTACACAGAGAGGAAAGACGCCACGAACCCCAGTGACACCTTCAACACAATTCCCGTCGGCTTCTGGTGGGCCATCATCACCATGACAACAGTAGGATACGGCGATATCTATCCACGGACTCCAATCGGATACATTGTTGGAACAGCCTGCTCTGTTTGTGGAGTACTGCTTTTGGCCTTGACCTTCCCTGTTATTTCTAATAACTTCAGTCTGTTTTATACTCACGTCAGGTCCCGATCGCAAGCACTGAGGCGCGTGGATAGAGGAGCTAAAGACCCAGAACCCCTTAAACAGATGCCTGGAACTGATCGTCCCCCTTCGGTAGCGTCAACTGTGGTAGAGCCGTACATGAACGGTAACGCTCGAGACAAAGGCAGTGATAAGACAAGTCCAATCCTTGTCTCCAGAATGTCAAGAAACGGGTCCATCAGCGACGTGATAATGAAGAATATAGATTCCTCGTATAGCCTACATCAGAATGGTTCCATGAAAACACGCTCAGACGACGGAGGATCGTGTCAAGGGGAGACGCACGTATGACGCGCTTGTACGTCAGTCGTGACGCGCTGGTTGGAATTCTTGTGATATGGAGTTGTGAGATGAACCGTTACCTTTTCACGCCTGCATAACCAACGCTGAGAATTGTCTACGTTCTGACAGCAGTGTGACAACGTTCGCTGTTTGCCTACTTACAATTTTTCCACTTTTCTTCTGTGATTTATATGTGAATTTGATGCTTTCTGCAGGGCGGAAGGCAACAGCTAGTTGGCTGTACAGAGTTGTCTCAGTACGGGATATTTCCGTATCTTCTTCCACCGTTGGTACTTCACGGGTTAGCATTAACTGCCTTCCTCCATCACCCGTGAATGTAGACAGTAGTTATGTTTAACAGCCAATCAAGGAAAAGCTTTGTTCCAGTGAACCATGTGCTGTTAAGAGTTCACGCCAAGGAGCGTTCGGATTATTTCGGTTCTATTTCTCATGCAACGTGCGTCTACTTTTCAACGGGTAATAAATGAGACTTGCATAACAGAATGAAATGAGCACAATTCCGTTCATGACCTTTCGTTAAACTCCAACATTACCTGATGTTGAACACTGTTTGGAGCAGAGGTTGCAAGGCCATGGTGCACGTTGGGGGGGAATATTGCCTTCATGAGCTGAACGCTGATTGGTCTGACACTCGCCGGCTTCCCTTTCACGGAAAGGGGTTACTTGATTGGTTGGTTAAAAATAGAATTTGATCCCCACAGCGACTTTACACCTTCTGTGGTGCTGGAGGAAAGCAGTGCAAACAAACCCGTGAAGGGCGTATTCATGTTCTCAGATAACTCGTTCCCTCACTACTCATTCCTCAGGTTAGACCGATCTGATGCAACATTTTTCATGAAAGGCGCTTTCCCTAATACAGCCCCCAAGCAATAACAGTCCAGCAGATACACCCAGTCAGCGCCAGTTTAGCAATAACACTGGAGTTAACGTTTAGAAATAACTTGATTAAAGCGAAACCCATGTCACTACAAATCATATTAGTCATTTCAGGTCTTCAGACAATGAGACGTCGTTTTACTGAAAAATCTCTAAAATCATCAACTCATTACATATGAATGAATGGATTTTATCTAAAAATGTATACCCATTTAGATATTATATGTAAATCTGTGACAACATAGATTTTGTGATATCAATACAGATCCTGATATTCAAAAATCAATAGATTTGCCGTATAGCTGCCATCAATTTTAGTACCTCGAGTTTAGGTGATTTGATAGTTTAAATAATTTGGGATATGACAAAATGTACCATTGATCTGACTATATGCAGAATATATAGTTTAGCAGTGCCTCGTGGTAAACATTTTCTTATGTAAATGATACTTCGAATGACAACAATGTTAGACAAGTCAGTGGGGCGTCATGTCTTGAATGTCGTCGTCGTTCTGGAAAGTCCATTCGACTTTCTCCCGCCGCCCAGAACTCTCCTTCCCACGGTAAACAATCAAACGTTTTCGTGTCTGAATTTATTCCCGACGCTGTGGAGACCTCCAGTTGTGGTGAAGATATACTAATACCATTTTACCTTGACAATAATCCTGGTTGACCATGTTCACTAAAGCTCCCTCGACATAATGAATGTATTTGAACACTGGTACCATGTGTGATAGAATATACATTGTCAAAAATTAAGTCATATAGTCTTTTTAATAATATCTTTTTTTAATTTCGCCTGTACGCTTTCTGGTTGTAGTTGGGGATTAGGAACACATAGAAGTATACAGATCGTCCAATAACCATGTTCCCACCTGAAGCGAGATAGACGAAGGGAGATAACTCTAAACTGTAACGCTCGCAAATCCTCACAGCCGAAGACCGCTGTAAATATGACTACTACTACTGGTGCAGTATGTCCTGAAGTGATATGAACGAACCAACATCGGATCATATATTCACATTAAAGTATTATTTTTAAATTTTCAAAACTAATATCGTTCATGTAACATGATAAGTGTCAGCTTTTTAACAGTAAGACAAGTAAATCCGCCAAAAGCTGTTTCTATTATTTTTTCTGTGGACCATGGACCATGTAAGGGTCGATGGTAAGAAGGCCACTGTTGACGTCACCAAGAGAAGCATTAACACATTCAGCCTGGTTCCCGGGGTCTGCTGCGCTAACGCTTCGGCACCGAAGCGTTAGCGCAGCAGACCCCGAGAACCAGGCTATTACACATTTATCCTGATTGTCTCCCCTTGTTCCATCCACTTCTTCCACAGGCATCATCGGCCGCTGGCGTCCTCTGGCGTCCTCATGACATTGTGATATTATGAACAAATACTCATGTTATCATGTTTGAGTCGCTATAATAATAATCATCATCATAATGAACAGATATTGATTACTTTAGTGAGTGAATGCGTCCAGTTTACAACCTCATGGGGTTCTGTTGAGGTGTGGTTGTAGTCGAGGGGATCGGACAGGTAAGGGAGGGGACTGTGACTGCTTGAGGTGACAGCTTTTGAGGACAAACAGTCTGTTTCATGACGTTGTTGAAACGTATTTCACAAAACATCACCCGACACTGACACGAGCTTCAGTCAGGATATTCTTACTGGTACCACCACTATGCTACTCTGACAAAAATCTCCACAATGTCATAACACCTTGGTAACAGCCGGTATTTGATTATGGTACATATCTGTCATGCTGCACGTTATATAACCTATATTTGACACTGGCCTATATACCCAGCTAGATATCTCGCACTATATATTAGCTAGAATCTCGCACTATATACCCACAAACTATATAACCAGCTAGATCTCGCACTATATACCCAGCTAGATCGAATCTTGCACTATCTATCCAGCTTGATCTTGCACTATATATCCAGCGAGAATCTCGCACTATATATCCAGCTTGATCTCGCACTATATACCCAGCTTGATCTTGCACTATATATCCAGCGAGAATCTTGCACTATATATCCAGCTTGATCTTGCACTATATATCCAGCGAGAATCTCGCTCTGTATATGCCAGTTTATACCCACAAACTGCATATCCAGATTGACCTCCGCACTATATATCCAGCTTGATCTCGCACTATATACCCAGCTAGAATCTCGCACTATATACCCAGCTAGAATCTCGCACTATATATCCAGGTTGAATCCCGCACTGTATATCCCACTTGCTATATGTATTTGCTACAAAACCTTGCACGCTACCACCCGTTGTTCCCACACACTATATCTCGGGCCACAAGAGCCTTCATGTGACAGGGATTTTCGCTTAACACAAGTAATTCCTTCCAGACACATTTAATGATATTGGCTTTGAGGCAAGTTGATTGCAAGAATGGCAGGAAGGTCTTCGATATTTGTTCGCACACAACGTAATCTTTTTCCGAAACATTTGGTGGAGGAAATCCTTGCATCAGTCTCTTTAGTTTTTCCTTTGTACGTGTATGAATAGATAGTTTACGTAAGGTTTACGTAATTTACAGTGTTGTTCTTAAATGTACTTGACTATCACTCCATTGATAGGACTATAATAAGATGTAAGTATTACTAACCCGAAATATTAAAAGATGACTTAATATGCATCGAGTTTCTAAGGCCAGCAAAACACTGACCACCTAAACATTTACTTAAGCGTTTCAGTATAACGAGCAGATTGCAATGTCTAACACCAACGTCGTGATGTTATGTGGAGTAGCCGTTAGTTAAAGATATAACGACCAACTTTATACTTTGTCCTATACATTTAAAGTTTAAATGGATTGAAATTCTATAACACGTGTATTTTATGATCATCAGATCATATATAGAAGCGTTCAGTTTGTTGATCAGAGATTACATGTCCAGATTCTCCAGGTAACTTGCAGCAACAGTGGCAGACACCGTTGTGGCACAAATATGTTTCTCTTGTTCATTTACATGTGTATTCTATGATCACCAAGCCATACAAACAAGCTGGTTTGTTGACCAGTGATTCCATATCCCGGTATTCATAGATATCTTGTGGTGGGAAAGACCGTTTTGGTACCAATATTATCACGTGGCATCTATAACCCATAGACCATGGTTCCACAAAATCACATTAGCACAACAAGGTTCTTCAGCCTCCACTCTCGCTTGTTCTTTCTTTACACTGTAAGACCATTGTGTGGAGCTCATTGTTGTGTCGGTCATTGTATATCTGTCATGTTTCTGTTTGAATGAAAGAACGACTGCTGAATGAAAAGCATAACTGACGATGTTTATATCATCTTAAAATATATTTTTTCTTGCATTGTAGCGTGGTAGCCAGTGTTCTGCGAGTCGATCACAGACGTCCCTCTTGCCTTACATATATCTCCACTTTATTGTGAGTTCTTTCACTTGTTTTATCAGTTTGCCAAAAATCCTCCACCCCTCACTTTTGAGGACAGTTACATCCTCTTGTCAAGGATCTTTGTCCTTGGTCGTGTTTCATGGTATTGTTTTGGTGATGGTTGTATATGTTTCTAATTAAAATCTTTACATTTATTCGACGGATGAAACTGATTCGTCATCGAGAGAGTTCTCCAGTTAATGATGTTTAGTGTTAAGTGTTGATGGCTACGCTGATTACATGTTGGATAAAGCAGAGACTTCGCATCGAGCTTTAGGCTTAAGAATAAGTATCAACTTTTCTATTTTACTGTGCGCACATGAGTTCCTAAGTGCGTTAAGTCCCCACTTTCAAAACCACCAGGTTGTATACCCAAGTCTTTTTAGCTTGCCTGTCCAAATATGCATCTAATCATATGACAAAAGAAAGTCGCCTTTTGCCGTCCGTTGGTCTATTGCACAGTGAATGTTCTAGTGATCTGTAACTTTGTGCTAAGTATGGACATATACTACTGTACTCAACTGACATACAATTGGCATCGTCTACCACGTTCCATCTGCTCTAGAGTCAAACTATACCCAAAGGATGTTACAGAACACCCTATGTTTATCCATGATTTGTTAACCTGGGCCTCCTTTCACAAAGCACTAAGGTGATCGTAAGTCACTAAGGTAACCTTAGTACAATGTTAAAGAAGGGGAGTTAAGGTTAACCTTAGTAAAGGTTGCTTCGTAAAGGAGACCCAGCTCTGGCTTGTTGGTGTTGCAACACTCAGCCTTCCAATTGTGGGTGTTCTCAACACAGCTCAAGTATGTAGGTATACTGTATGTTTTCATCTATCTATTTAAACATTGTTCATGTGATAGTGCCGACTGTTCCTGTAACCAATATCATTATAAGCAGGCTGTGTATGAATGTACTGGTGTCTTAACTGAATTGTCATTGCTGTGATGATGGACCTTCGGTTTTTCTATGACGGTGGCCTTTAACTCCATGTCACCTATTTCTATATATAATGTCGGTATTATCAGCTGTTACCATAGCGGCTTCATTTCAGATAGCTGTAACATTGATTGACGGAAAAATGTAATATCTACTGAATCATAGTTAATGCCCTTTAGAATATGTTGTGTTATTGAGTAACGTTTCCCGTATGAACTTCAGATGACATCATTACCTGTAAATACAGTCACACACCGCTGTGTCGAAGTTGAAAGGAAGTTCGTAAAAACTTATCCGAGCTTCGACACAACCACAAAAGGCTGACAAAAGAATACGCAGGTGTTAATGGTATAAAGTAGTTAAAGATAAGCTACAGAGTCCTTTAGAGACAAAGGATTTAGTTCGAGATATCATCATGTTCGACACAAAGGTGTTTAACTGTTTTGACCGAATTATGAATGTAGCTTTGCTGTGTTAATGGTACAAAGTAGAAGGTGAGCTACAGAGTCATTTAGCCTTTTCCACATTACAAAGCCCGTTCATCGGTATATACTCGTATCACGAATAGTCCCAGGCAACGTGTATATTTCTTGAATTTGTTCGATATGGTGCCAAGTTGTTTTCATTCACAATTGCCAATGTACGCATTGCAAGGTCGTGGTCGTAAGGATGTACGATGTTGATGCAGCTGCGACATGAACGTCAAAATTGTACCGCCTTGCCAACGTCCCACTGTGTCTGCCTAGCGTCATGTTTACGGCGGGTCTATGACACTACGGCGCTTTCAATATTTACGCTTGTTTGTAATTTGATCATATGATTTCTTTGGAGTTTTCCACTCTATAACAGCATTGACATGTTGCTGGTGAGATGAGACCGGTGACATCGATTGTGTACATATCGCTCCCGCCAGACGGTTCGGATAGCTGGGTCCGTGGTTGCAGTGAAATCAAACCCTACAACCTAAATCTTGGGGTGTAAATGCCCGTTTCTCAGTCTCATAAAAAGAAAAGACAAAAAATCGAGTAGAACTTCTGGAAGATCCTCACCCAGGAATCTTGATTTCCTAAGACATGGTATACTTGGATATATCATGATAGAAAATGTGTTTGTTTTTTCTCATGTTTTGAAACAAATTTCCTGAAACCGTCGAACATTAAATGTAGCTAAAAAAGTTCATTTTTACATCGGAAATACCATCGTGACACAGATGATCAACACATCAAAATAACTATTTCTTCTGTAAAATGATATCTTTCACTTCCTAATACAAGGTTTAAAACTATACACAAATATTAATAGACATGACTGAATAATTCTCAGGGGTAACCAAGATTTGTTCGCGCTTTATCCGCCCTCTTTCTCTTTCATGTCTTTCATGTTCGATAGGATCACGTAAAAAAATAACCGATTCCTGAAAGTGCCGCTGTTCGCGAGACTTCCACGTGAGTTGTCAAGGTTACCGAGGTCCGGCATGAATGGGTTACCGTCTGGCGGGGTGTTTATTTGCTCCTCTACAATGCTATGCAATGAAAACGCTAGAAAACATGAATCCACGTGTTGTTTTTTGTTTTAAGATCTGCTTTGTCGTCAATCACAAGATTGTCTGGTCCAGTCCCGGTTATTTACAGATCACCGTCATGTAGCTGGAATGTTGCCGTGTGCAAACAAAAAAACAACTTAATCTGTTATCATTGGGGTGGCAGTATTACAACCATCGCCTGTCTATTGGAGCAGAAACATCGTATACACTCTACTTGAATTGTTACTGCATTGCGTTTGTATACTAATTAGATACCTTGGTATCTAGCGATAGTCATAAATTATAGGGAACATAATCAAAAAACAAAACATTAATACGACAAAAGGGTTTTAACGTCGCACCTAAGACTGACTGACTGAGTTTTGGTTTTACGCCGCTTTTAGCAATATTCCAGCAACATCACGGCGGGGGACACCAGAAATGGGCTTCACACATTGTACCCACGTGGGGATTCGAACCCGGGTCTTCGGCGTGACGAGCCAACGCTTTAACCACTAGGCTACCCAACCGCCCCTCGCACCTAAGAATACTTATGACGACGTGCATGCGCGTGTATGTGTGGCTGCTTGTACTAGCCCAGACTTACGCTGGTCTTACAGTACTAGCTCACTTAGATACCGTGCCACAGTTAAGTATGAACACCCACACACAAAAACATTACACTGACTCCGAGCCGACCAGTCCTTGCTGTACCCATTAATGCCGAGCGCCAGGCAGGGAACAACAAGTGCCATATTTTAACGTCTTTGGTATGATAAGACTGACTGACTGAGTTTTGGTTTTACGCCGCTTTTAGCAATATTCCAGCAACATCACGGCGGGGGACACCAGAAATGGGCTTCACACATTGTACCCACGTGGGGATTCGAACCCGGGTCTTCGGCGTGACGAGCCAACGCTTTAACCACTAGGCTACCCAACCGCCCCTCGCACCTAAGAATACTTATGACGACGTGCATGCGCGTGTATGTGTGGCTGCTTGTACTAGCCCAGACTTACGCTGGTCTTACAGTACTAGCTCACTTAGATACCGTGCCACAGTTAAGTATGAACACCCCACACAAAAAAAACATTACACTGACTCCGAGCCGACCAGTCCTTGCTGTACCCATTAATGCCGAGCGCCAGGCAGGGAACAACAAGTGCCATATTTTAACGTCTTTTGGTATGAGGTGGCTGGGGATCGAACCCAGACGCTCTAACCACGACACCACGAAGGCGGGACAGGGGCTTGTAACGCAAATAACGAGCATCATGGTGTGTACTGCATCGCCCGGGTCTCAGCACTTCACAAGATGAAAGGGTTTGGTTTGATTGTTGTTTACGCCGAACTCCCCAACATTCCAGCTATATGACAGCGGTCTGTAAATAATCGAGTCTGAACCAGACAATCTTATGATCAACAGTATGATCATCGTTCTACACAATTGGGATACGATGACATGTGTCAACCAAGTCAACGAGCCTGACAACCCGATCCCATTAGTGGCCTCTTACGACAAGCATGGGTTGCCGAAGACCCATTATAACCTGGGCCTCCTTTCACAAAGCACTAAGATGATCGTAAGTCCCTAAGGTAACCTTAGTGTCATGTTAAAGAATGGGAGTTAAGGTTAACCTTAGTTAAGGTTGCTTCGTGAAAGTCGCCCCTGGTACAAACCCGATGCGACGTTTCGGCACACATTGGAGACGTGGAGACTTCAAAATGTCCACCCACAAGCTGACACGCCCCTATTAACTCGCATACAGGTAATGGTGGCGTCAAACTCATTCATTCCATATATGATTGGACTGACTGACTGAGTTTGGTTTTACGCCGCTTTTAGCAATATTCCAGCAACATCACGGCGGGGGACACCAGAAATGGGCTTCACACATTGTACCCATGTGGGGATTCGAACCCGGGTCTTCGGCGTGACGAGCCAACGCTTTAACCACTAGGCTACCCCACCGCCCCATATATGATTGAAGTGATAATATGATTGACTGTGGTAATAGTCTTCCACTTGGACGGATGATGATGATCATTATGGTGATAGAGGGAGGAGATTTTACGTGCGCTTTCTGATATAATATACAGTTTTAAAAAGTGAAGTGAACGCAATCAGTTTCAAATGTGGTCAGCTTGAAGAAACGGCTACACTAATCACAATTGTCCCTATTCACGACTACAGAAATCATGTCTTTATGTGTACAGACATTGGTGCCGTTTCTGACAAAATTAAAAGTGTCGTAGGAAGTCTATCAAAGATCGATGACAACACGGACAAACTGGAACCCATTTGTCGACCTGACAATGTCATTCTCCTTTTATTCTAGAGCACGACGTTTCGATATAGGTTCTTGTATCGTTTTCAAGTGAGAATGGTACAGGGAGAGAACAGGTGCTATATATACAACAAGACTAATTAACAAGGCAAAGCGGAATAACAATGTGATGATAACAAATAAAGGGATAACAGAGGATTACAGGGATTATCCCTTTATTTGTTATCATCACATTGTTATTCCGCCTTGCCTTGTTAATTAGTCTTGTTGTATATATAGCACCTGTTCTCTCCCTGTACCATTCTCACCTGAAAACGATACAAGAACCTGTATCGAAACGTCGTGCTCTAGAATAAAAGAAGTTGTCATCCATATATACTTGTTCTGTCTGACCTCCAACTTCTAAAAATGCCACTCAAAGAATGTCATTCTCCATGACTTACCCGAAGTAGAAGGGGTCTAGTTTGTGAGCTTAAATCCGACTTGACGTCCAATAAAATACCACCTGAACAAAAAAGTTGTTTAACAAACGATCATTATTTTGTTGTCACTTAGCGCTCTTTTACGGGGCACTCGCTAGTAGAACAGCCAGGTAATCAACAAGCGGTGAAATTTCAATTTCATACGTGCAAAGCCCACACCTGGCTGTTCTACCAGCAAGTGGCCCCCTCGTAAAAGATAGCGGTAAGCGACAACAAAATTATGATCGTTTGTTGAACAACTTTTTTATTCGGGTGTCCAAAATTATGAGACAAATCATCAGAGTTGGTCTGTCGATTTCATGTTACTGTGCAAAATTTGGTTTTGTTGCAATTATTAGATATTGTGTTAGTGAGCAATTCATCGGTCTCAAATGAAGTCAAACAGACAATAGTCACGGGTTTGCCCAAACACACCAGCTCATTTGTTCAAATGCGTGACAGATATTGAAATGGAATTCAAATTGAAAAAAAAATCTTTTGAGGAAGTAATTGTACCCTTGACGTCATTTGTCATCTAAAGGAAGACATGGTTTAGAAAATGTCATCCCCAGCAAGTCTGATTCAATTTGTTAATAAATTATATAATTACTGACAGTTAATAAATATCCTTCAGCACTGCGGTGAAAGTGACTTACTGCTGTTCTTTAATGAATCTTGAACTAAAATGTCAGTGTGAGTTCCATAATTATATGTATAACTTGGGGTTGATAAAAAGGAACCTTCTTTCTTTGGAAGACAGACCTAAAAAATACAACAGGCAAAAGAATCTCATTCCATCATGATGTTTAATGAGACATTTGTACAAGTGAGATAAGAGTTTTCCAATGACATTTACATGATCACAATGTAGCGAACAATGACCTCGACCTTGATCTTTATCTGACACTGATGATCCAAAAGATCAAAAGACAACTGCATCTTGAACAACGTTTAACATAACCAAATACTTATATAATCATCTAATGCCGCACTAAATCTCTTAACTAGAATCTGAACACATAGACCAAACATCTGATAAAAATCTGTTGTCATTGAAGACCCAGGTCCACTACAAGACATGTCTAAAATCAACATGAACAAGGGGCTACATAATCAAATAATCTCTTAAAAATGCAAGATATTTGATAAAGCAGTTCAGCAGAATATTACTTGCATCCCTTCAAATTGTGCGGTATTCGTGATTTCAATTATAAATGTTCATGTATAAAAATGGTCCACCCCCCATGTAAATGATTCACAGATTTACCCCAAGTTAAACCAAACCCATTCTAATCAATCAAGTTTTCATAAAAAGTCCCTAACCCCTCCCAAGCATTAAGCCCACCCAACCATTACCCACCCCATAACCCCACCCACATCCTACACAAGCAAATTGTGAGTATGTTTCCTTCCTGGCCACGCTTCCTTTGCATACTTCTTCTTCTTGGGTTCCTTCGAAGGTTCCTCTGGTGTGAATCCCACAACTGGTGCTGCAGTGACCTGTGGCGCCGCTGTGTCGTGATCTATGTCTGGCGCCAGGTTTGGAACAGGAAGCCCTAGTTTTGTGGCAATACTGTACGTGCTGCTGAGAGTTGAACCTGCTGCGTTCCCACCCACTGCAGGAAGGTCACCATACAGGTTTGTACCATAGGAAAAGTTCTGAAGTCTCTTTGTGATATTTTCTGTCATGCTGCCTGATGGCTGTGCACTTCCATCTAATTTGGCTCTCTGAAAAATATACAAGTTGGAGTGAGTGAGTGAGTGAGTTTAGTTTTACGCCGCACTCAGCAATATTCCAGCAATATTCCAGCTATATGGCGTGTGTGTAAATAATCGAATCTGGACCAGACAATCCAGTGATCAACAGCATGAGCATCGATCTGCGCAATTGGGAACCGATGACATGTGTCAACCAAGTCAGCGAGCCTGACCACCCGATCCCGTTAGTCGCCTTTTACGACAAGCATAGTCACCTTCTATGACAAGAATGGGTTGCTGAAGACCTATTCTACCCCGGATCTTCACGGGTCTATACAAGTTGGAAGTTAAAGAATCAGTGAGCAAGTATGGTTTTACACCAAGTGAGTGAGTGAGGGAGGGAGGGAGGTGGTGTTATGCTGCCTTTGCAAATAATCCACGGGTCAAAACCAGATTTGGTTGGTTGGTTTGTTGTTTTACGCTGCACTCAGCAATATTCCAGCTATATGGCGGCGGTCTGTAAATAATCGAGTCTGGTCCAGACAATCCAGTGATCATGCAAAAATACCCAGCATGTTCAGTTTATTTACATGTGTAATAGTAATACTGTTTTATTGACTGAACATGCTGTATGTGGGGACATATGAAGGTCCGGGTAAGAATATTGATCTTCAGTAACCCATGCTTGTTCGTAAGAGGCGACTAACGGGATCGGGTGGTCAGGCTTGCTGACTTGGTTGACACATGTCATCGGTTCCCAATTGCGCAGATCGATGCTCCTGCTGTTGATCACTGGATTTGTCTGGTCCAGACTCGATCACTTATGGACCGCCGCCATATAGCTGGAATATTGCTGAGTGCAGCGTAAAACTAAACTCACTCACTCACTCGCTGTATGTGGGCATCCTATATATACTACCCATCAAAAGTTTAGACTCACTGAAAGCACTCACTATATGTTATGTATATGTATGTGGTTACATCGAAGATGAATTTCTCCACCAACTTGGGGGAACCAACTGAAAACCTTATGCAGATGAATTGCACAAGGATGATGCTTCAAATTGCGAAAGGCATGAGCAAATGTCGTGCATGTGAACAGATTCGTTTTGGTGTAAAGTTTTGTTAAGAATTCGCCAATTTTCACAGATTTTAATCATTTACCGAACTCATGACAATAATCTTTTCAATGTTACGAATATGTTTTACAATACACCAGTTCATAACTAAACAGTACCTTTAAACAGTATGGAATATTTTGCAAAAAGCTAGTTTAGAACAGTGGACAAGTAAGTGGCTACATTTACACTAGTGAGTCTAAACTTTTGATGGGTAGTATAGATCGACTCTACTGAAATGAGTAATCCACAAAAGTCATCAGTCTCATTCACTGTAACTTATGTATCTCTGCTGTAAACTTCAGCAACAAGTGAGCACTTGAATACTCAATGAAAACTATCCAACACAGGGCTCGATTTAGTGCTTTGTTACTTGCACTGGTGCAACTCAATATCACAAAGTGCAACCTAGTTATTAGTCAAAAGTGCACCATGTGCAAGTCAAGTTTTGAGAAATAAATCAATAACAAATCTAAGTATGTCCGTTCATTTTTCTTCTAAACTTTGAATAGCTATGGCACCGAAACATTGCCATTTATAGACACTTCTCGGCTATGACAGCTCTTGTAAACAGGGATCAGCTGCGTATCTGTGTTGCTATGATTTCATGGGTACTACGTCACGGAAATATGTTTATGTGCACCAAAACCTCTGACGTTTTAGCACACTACATTGCAACTGGAATTTGGCTTGTGCAACTAGGTTTTTATCTTAGGTTGCACCTGGTGCAAGTAGGTTAACATCCCTTAAATCGAGCCCTGCAACAGTAAAATGAAGAGGGTTAGGGGACTACAATACTACAGCTCTGCTACAGCTTGATAAAGAGGAAGAAGACCATAACACTACAACTCTACTACAGCAGGATGAAGAAGGGGGTGGGGTTAGTGGACTGCATATCTGCTACACTGGGATGAAGAATAAGACAAGTAGGCCACACCTTAGCTCTTTATCAGTCGAAATCTTAGAATATACTTACAGGATTACAAAGCAAAATCAAAACCTTTCTCAAGAAAATAAAGACTTGTAAATAACAAACCAAGAGCCAGCAGTGTGAGCACTGAACACCATCATCTGCCATCCCTTTGGACTTCCAGTCAAAGTACCCAAGACTTACTCTTAGGACAAGCAATGAGTGAGTGAGTTTAGTTTTACGCCACACTCAGCAATACTCAAGCTATATGGCAGCAGTCTGTAAATAATCCAGTCTGGACCAAACAATCCAGTGATCAACAGCATGAGCATCGATCTATGCAATTGGGATACGATGACATGTGTCAACCAAGTCAGCAAGCCTGACCACCTGATCCCGTTAGTCACCTCTTAGGACAAGTATGGGTTACTGAAGATCGATTCTAACCCGGATCTTCACGGGTTAACAAGCAAAGAGCACTGTGCGTGTCGAGCCCTGGAATACCCACACAGTCAGCTGCTATCACCTACCTTCGTTGGGATGATGGTTGTCTGTACAAGGTTCCTAAAGCGACCGACTGATGGATCGATGTCCTCTGTAATACAACATAGATTCGTAAGTTGTAGAACTGTATCCAACTGAGAATATCAAACACATCGGAGAGTGAACATGCTGGTCTGTCTAGTTCCATCGTGCATTCTAACAAGGAACATGCATCACTGCATCTTCAACTATCCAGTGTATCATAGTCTGGATCAAATTGCATTCATAGTTTCAAATAGATCTGAAGAACACAATTCAAGAAATAGCTGTAGGTTAAATTATCAGGGATTTACTGGACACACAATTCTGCATCCTACACAGAAATAAAACATGTTTGTTGTTTAACGCCACACTCAGCAATGTTCAAACTAAATGACAGCAGTCTGTAAACAATTTAGTCTGGACCAGACAATCCAGTGATAGATATTATGAGCATCCATCTAAGCAATTGGGATACGAAGACATGTGTCAACTAAGTCAACGTGCTTCACAACTTGATCCTGTCGCATCTTACATCAAGCATGGGTTGCTGAAGACAAATTCCAAAACGGACACATAATTATTGAAAAGTGTCACACTGGATACAGAAGTATGTTAAGAAATGAAAACTGCTATTCCATAATTAGGTTCCACTTTAGGGTTCAACTGCCTCAAGGCCCCACATGGGGAACTTCACATCCCTTTTCACCAACAGCTTCTGAACATGTCTATTCTTATCACTTATTCTTGAGTACTTTATTCAATTTTTCAATTTTTTTAAGCTGAGAAACAAATGTTGTAATTTCAAAGTTTTGTGTCCCCTGTACGCCTCAAATAAATAATTGAGGTGAACCCTGAATTATACCCATCTGTCACTACTGAAACAATTGAAGTCCACTTCAATATTGTTGAATTCAAATTAAAACATAACAGATGTCTGTAACAAGTTGGAGATAGTAGAGTCACTTTCGAAATGAATAAAATGGATCCAGGAAATATATCAGAACAGAATGAACATATAGTACACTGGAAAAAAACAAAAGTGACATCATCATTGCTTATCTATAATATCTAAAAAGGAAGTGAACTGTTATTACAGTAAATCAATTACAGAAATGAAATATCGGACACAAGTTAATTTCCTCGGAGGTCAAGAAGAAACACCTCATGTATCATAGTTTGTAGCCCCGAGATCAGTTACCCGTCAACCGTCCTTGTTCTCCTTAATCCAATTTGCTGGGGTGGGGAAAATGCAGAACCTGTTTACAAGCTTCATCGTGTCATTGTTGTAAAACTATGGAATTCCTCTAATTGTATTTTTCGAATGTAAGGAAACTATTTAATTATATCTTTTTACATAAAATATGTAGTCCCTTTACGGCGAAGGATTACCATAACACTGATGATGATTCTGAATTCTTATCATGACTAACACTTGTTTGATATATTCATCGCAAACAGAGTTGTGCCCCTTCCTACAGAATTTCTGCAATATTATTTTCAATAATGATAGTTTCTTTGTTGTTTAACGCCACACTTAGCAATATTCCAGCTATATGGCAGCTATATGGCAGCAGTATGGTCCTATATGGGTCTGGACCAGACAATCTGGTGATCAACACTATGAGCATCAATCTACGCAACTGGGATACGATGATCTGTAAACCAAGTCAGCGATCCTGGCCAGTGGCTACACAATGACATTAGTTACTAGGGGTTACTACTGAGAGGGAAGCAACTATTGTGATATTGATAGTCTATTGAAGCATACCAGTGTTTGCCATGACGCACGAAACCTACGTATTTGACGCACAAATTATCTCAAATATGCAGTGAATTTAGAAGCTTGCGTTATTGTTGACGCAATGCTACTGGGCCCTTAGTTCAGTTTGAGTACATATTGTAATTTGCTGTTGATTAAAACTAGTTATTTTAATGTTTGCCAGTTAACTGCTCAGTGCTGATTAAATACCTGACCTGCCTTACCTTGTGTTTTGTCGTTATTAAACAATCACAGTTGATGCCTTGATGAAAGTTCCAAACAGAAGTTGACTCCCAAAACATGTCCATGACTCCCTCTCATGACACCAGGGAGTCATGACGACTGACATACTATTACATTAACAATAGTCTATTGCAACCAACTATTGCAATACTATTGCAACCAACTATTGCAATAGTTTTTTCTCTCCTTGAATTGCCTCATTTGAAGTCATTTCCCAAATGAATGTATCGTTTATATGAAATAGTTGAAGTAGTTTCTGTCTCTTTTAATAACTGACAAGGAACCCAGATTAAGAACAGTCCTGTTCGTTTTAAGAGATAACAGGGGCGGATAACTCTAAATCAAAGTGAACAAATCCGGTACTTCCTATACTAGTATTTTGCATTCTGCATTTATTAATGGAAGTCAATGACAAAACTATCGATAGTCAAACACATTATCGATGCATCGACAGTTTTTTGTTTTTACCATCAATTAATTGCTTTCAGACTCAACAGTTGCAATCCATCGATAGTTTGATGCATCTTAACAGCACTATTAGTTACTTCTTACAACAAGCATATGCATGCTAACAAATTCTCATTTAAATTAATGTCAGCAGATTCATTTCAGCAAAGTGATGCAGGACATTCAAAAACAGTTCAGAAATGATTAACAAATCTTTAATAATAACTGGAAACCACTGAGGTCGTGTATCATATTGCTAAAATTGTCAGTTCATGCAATAATCTGGTAACCATGGCAACAGTGTAAATCATGTAACAACCATAAAAATGATGAAGGCGGATAATGAATTCAATTACATAACTGCATTTGTAAACCACACATTCAGAAACTGATCTGGGCAATAACATAAGACCAATGCTGGAAACTAACTGCAAGTTGACATGTATAACTACCTGGATTTATGACCTCCTCTTCATCATTAAACACAACATGACTTGACTTGTGTTTCCTCTTCAGAGGATTGGGGACATCTGCAACTTCTACTAAGGATGCTATGCGACGATTGTGAGCTGTGTTGAATTCTGTGAGATTCTGTGGAGAAAACGATGTATGACTAAGTTTTGATTGTTTGTTTATTGTTTAATGCCGCCCTCAGCAATATTCCAGCTATATGGCGGCAGTCTGTAAATAATCGAGTCTGGACCAGACAATCCAGTGATCAACAGCATGAGCATCGAATGTATGACTAAGTAATCTGTTCCTTCACATAAACTTGACAATCAAATTCCAATAACACTGTGTACTTTACCACTGAGTCATATTCTGCTATACTTACATGACACTGCACAAAATGCAACCATTTAATTATTGCATTCAAAAGTATACACTCTAAACTCAGATTTCTGAATTCCAACTTTGAATCACCCAGTGTCTTCACTGACACTTTGGGTAATGTCCTGGCGCATGTACAAGGGAGAAATTGAATAGGAAACGCCAGATATACTTGTCAGAGTGTCCACATATTAAATTAGCACACAGACAAACTGACACCCATACACAGACAGACAAGGACACATGGGGACACATACACACACACAAAATCTGAACAAACACTGTCTTCTTCTACTAATGTTTTAGCATCTATTTGTGGCATTATAAATGAGGTGAGGAGAGGTGAAATTGGGTTTAACGTCGTGCTTGAGAATATTTCGCTCATATGATGACGTGCATGCATGTGTATGTGTATGGACTGCTTGTACTAGCCCAGACTGAAGCTCGTTTTATAGTGCTAGCTCACTGAGATACCATGCCGCAGTGAAGCAGGAATACCCCACTCAGACACATTATACTGACTCTGAGCCGACCAGTCCTTGTTGTACCCATTAATGCCGAGCGCCAGGCAGGAACCAACAAGTACCATATTTTAACGTCTTTTGGTATGACGCCGTCGGGGATCGAACCCGCGACCTTCCGCTCTCCCGGGCGGACACTCTAACCACAACACCAAGTCGGCATTATAAATGAAATCAATGTGACTGCAAGTGATAACCTTCAAAGTTGGCGTCCATTTCTGGCACCTCCACCATGATACAGGAGGACTATTGCTGAAAGCTTTGTAAAACAATAATCACTCACTCATTCGAGGTTCACTCTTGCACCAGACTACAAAAGTGTACTGATGACAAGTAAAAGTCTATTGACTGCTGTCCTCACTCACTAGTAGACATTACCCTGAACCCGTCTCCAACAGGGATTGGGAAAGGCAAGGGGCCATGGGCCAGTTTCCACAATAGAATAAAAAATGGCCCATTAAAATTTTGAAGCTTACTATTGATACAAAGACAGTGGCCCATTCTAAATTCAGAAAATGGCTAATAATCCTGAAAACGGACCATTGTCAAAGTTCTCTATCCCAATCCCTGCTCCAATGTTTCAGTTTTGTCATAATCGTGAAGCGAATACAACTGACGGATAATGATAACCACTCTTGTCTTGAATACACAATGCCATTTAGAAAGTGGTAAAATGTAACATATGTTTGTGATTACACTTTCTCAGTAAAGTACAGATTCTAGGACTTTTGTCAGGCTGAGTCCCATCCGGGATTCGAACCCACACCCTCAGTCAGGTACCTAATCCCCAGCACAAAGTCAGCTGTCTAAAACATTTCGCCACGGCGGCTTCCACAAAAATGGAAGTTGGACAACTGGTAGTCCAGACCAGTCTGATAAGTGTAGATGGCATGGCTCCCACGGCCAAAATCTATGAAAAACAATGTCATTTAGAAAATGGTCATATCTAACACATACTTCCCCAATATTAGATATGGTGATTGTTTTAAATTATCAACTCAGGAGGAAAAAAGGAAAATAAAATTACTTGGCTTGTACTCTTTCAGAGTTTAGTGTTAATTTCTATCCATAATCAGTAGCAAAACAGGGCTACAAGACTACGATTGCTCCTTCATTACTTCATAACAGAAGCCCTTTAGGCAGCATGAGTGAGTGAGTGAGTTTAGTTTTATGTTGCTTTTAGCAATATTCCAGCAATATCACAGCAGGGGACACCAGAGACGGTCTTCACAAATTGTGCCCATTTTGGGGATCGAAGTCGGCGTGACAAGCGAACGCCTTAACCTCCAAGCTACCCCACCACCCCTTACGCAGCATGAGATACATGGGATTGTTGGGTACTCACATCAAGCTCTGTTTCTGATTCTGGTAAACCTAATAAGCTGCCTTCGTGATCTTCTATCCGTTTTCCATCTTTGTCTTCGTGTGGTTGGTTTGAGATTCCCTGTGGACGTTCACGTATGATATAGATTCTTGTTGAAGCACCAAAATGAATTTCACTGTCGATTGGGACTTGCTGAGGTTTCCGTTTTTCAAGTCGTATCTGACCAATGAACGTTCCATGTGCTGCAACAGAACAGTATTGATCATACGTAGAAAAATATGAAGGATGAAGGAAATATGTTGAAACTTACACTCAACTATATCTGAAACTAACCTTTTTACGTATCAGTATTAAAGGTTCCCATGATACTGCTACAACTAAGGGACACAACTCTGCATAACCAATTTTGCCTTCAACAACTGCAATGTCTATGTCCCACAGTAATTATGACAGGTCAGGGTAAGAAATTAAGTGGGGTCACTTTAAGATCTGAAGGCTTGCTAGTAGTATTGGATTCTAAGAACTTGGGACGAGGAAAAATAGCTTCAAAGTACAAGAGGAAGTAACTCTTCAACACATGCTGATGCTTAGTGAGTAGACACCAGAAATTGGCTTTACACAATGTACGCATGTGGGAAATCGAACCCGGGTCTTCGGAGTGATGAGCGAACAATTTAACCGCTTGGCTACCCCAACGCCCCGCTGATGCTAAGAGTTATCAAACTGTTGATATACTTACTGCTTCCAAGATCCATGATAAATGGTCTGGAAAGATGTTTGTGCCAAACAAGAGCTGCATGTACTCGAGAACAGGAGGCATGATCAATACAAAAGTCACAAAGCTGCTTGTTACGCCCAAAAAAATAACATTTCTTCTCATCTACCATTAATTTCTGAAACACAAAGGAAAGATGCACGATTAGATTGCTACAAATCATCCATAAAACATCATCCAAGCCCTAAGTTTTACATAAATGACAGGGTTCGAAATACTCCATATATTAGGGTGCCATGGCACGGTAAATATTGAAATGGCACGGATAAATAATTTTCTCAGTGCCTTAAGGCATGCCTAATTTTTTAGAGACATAACTCACCTTTAGTCATTTAATCCCCAAAACAAAACACTTACGCAAATGACTGATAGTTTGGGAAGACTGATAGTTTGGTTATTGAAGAGGAAATTGTGTATGTTAGATATCTTGAACTTACATATTGATAACCTGTCACAGAATTCTTAGCTATTAAAGGTGCTAGGAAAGCAGTACAAATGAAGCTTAAGAAAGCCATCTTAAACAGAAGACATATCAGTGATAACAGAAAACAGGTTCAAAAGATGATCATCATCATTGCTACAGTCATGTATTCTAAAAACATGTGGGCACACTTGATTTCTGAAAGGCACATTTAAAATATTTGCCTGGTGCCCTAAGGCACACTTAGAAAAAAAAGTATTTCTATCCCTGCATGATATCCATTGTATAAGCATGCATTGTGCTTGGAGTTCAGCTGTGTTGCATAAGCATTGTATAACACAAAAATGAATTTTCAGGACTTGATTTAAATACATAAAACACCTACCAGGACAGCCTATCAGTATTACTGAATAAGTGCAACCTAATATTAATGACTACATGTCAAGATCATTTTTTACTAATCCTTACTTTGCCACATAACATCAATCCTTGAACACAATCAATCCTTCTAAGATTTATTTATCATACTACATTATAAATCCCTATCTCAAGAGTAATTTGTTATACTTAAAATTCTACATAAACTCATGACAGTCATAACAAGATCTGTTATTCTATTGTGTATTAACATGATTAAGAGCAATTTATCATCGTTGTTGCTACTCCAGAGTGCATCCTAGCTGTCTGATGCAAATAGGTTGTCAACATTCACCTGCTGCAAGACAGATCAAGTACCTCACATCAGTCCTTGATTGTATTCATGAAAAACATTTAACTCTGGGTCACATGATCACGATACATCATCAGTTGTAAAGTTGAACTAATCATGATGATGTCTTTTAGGTGAGTTTCTACCAATCACAGGTAAATCCTGGATATTTTAGAAAGGGGTGGTAAACTTGACAATATACCCATGTATTTCAATAAAACAAAACATTTTTGTTTATTTTTTATCATTGTGGATTATTAATACCATCATAATTACTAAGACTAGGGAATTGAAACATAGATAATTTGCGAGAATTTCTTTACTGTCACAAATTTGGACTTGCACTGCATCAACGCGCAAAATGGCGCCATGCATTGGAGTTCTGAGCGACCAAGCATCATGTTTTTATTACCAGTTTAGGGAGCATGTATGCTCTGATGATGTGCTTCAGGGTTGCATTATAGACTATAGGAATTAGGGCTGTAACGATGCATCCAACTATCGATGCATTGCGATTGTTGAGTCTCCGATAGCAATTAATCAATGGTAGAAACGAAAAACTATCGATGCATCGATAGTATGTGTGACTATCGATAGTTTAGTAATTGACTTCCGATGATAAATGTGCAGCACAAATTACAGGAAGTACCAGATTCGTTCACTTTGATTTAGAATGCAGACTTGCAGCTTCACTGAGTGTATGTGTTAACTGTTTACTTGATCTGGGTTTTAAGTTTCTTGTCAGTGATTAAATTGACTGAAACTACTTTAACTTGTTTTTATTTCATATGAACTATACGTTCATTTGCGAAATGACTTCAAATGAGCCAATTTAAGGAGAAAAAGAATATTGCAATATCGCAATAGTATGTTGCAATAGACTATCACTATCGCAATAGTTGTTTCACCCTCAATAGTCACCCATAATATGAATTAGTGTTGATTTTGAAGGCTTGTACATAGGGGGTCGCCTCATCAGTTGAGTCACCATATAAGCAGCGATATACAGTATTTAGTTTTTAAAGGGTGAGGTTTCAAACCTTCTAAATCATACCTGATTCCATCACTGAAAGAAATGACAACCTGGTCCACTTTACCTGAATCATTTTGCCATCTTTTGTGACATCCAGATGTAACCCCGGCTGAGGTTTCCCTGCCCTGAAAATCAAATCTAGAGTCAATAAACTGGAAATAATGACGTCAGTTGTGAAGACTAAGAAGGATCATATTTCTTGATGTTAGTGTATAATAATCAGCCTTGATAACAGAAGTCGGTTAGGGGAAATCGTAAAACTATGCTTCACACTTCATAGGCTTGAACTCCTTCACAACTCCTCTTAAAGACCAGGGTTTTCATCTACTCTTCCACTGTGCATGTTTGGGGTTTTTTTAATGTATAGTTATTTCTCTACTATGATATTAAGCAAAAGGGCAAAGACACTTCATCCACAAGTGCAAAATATTCTGAGTGATCTTGCCCCTAAATCTATCATGATTGTGTGCTTTTTATACTTAGGCCAATAAAAAAAATGTTGTGGTTCCGAATACACCTCTTTAAAGTTTAGTGTAGGCAGGCAGGATTTTTTCTGCATTTTTTTTCAGAATTCGAACTAATAGCACATATATCAATGTGTAATTGTTTATTCAATCAAGTTTCAGATTGCACGTTCGTGGCGATCGGCCATCCTGTTGACTTTCTCTATCAGAATGGCTGATGTCCGTCGGTGGCAGCAAAAAAACAATGGCATCTGAAAGCTTATTTTATTCATACATCCAATAAAATAGGATCAGCACTAGAATTCAAGGGTCAGTCGGGTATTCGGAACCGCAACAGTTTTTAAAGGAGTTACACCACATTATATTTTATAGGGAAGCCAAGAGGTGCATCAATAGTGATGACATAATAAATTCATAATACTTTTCACGCTGACACCACATTATATTTCAGGGTGCAGTGAGGAGTATCAATAGTAATGACCTCATTAATTTTTGTGTCATCCATTTTAGGTGTAGCCAGTGATGATTTTTGGTACTCAGAATATGATCAGAATCTGCATGATCTGTATTGGAATTGAGTCAACAGACATAACACATTACAGGTGAAAATGTAATGAAAAGTGTGAAACAGAATGTTGATGGTTGTGGTTAATGTTGTATGTCTAACAAGCACAAAACATTGTGGCAATAAGTACAGTTTTCTAGGATTAATTATTTATGCATGTTAAACATGTTGAAATGCAGGACTCCTTTCTGCAACTAAAGCTCAAGTCACCATGCAAACTACTATCTATATGCGGATTTCTCACACACACAGATGGAAATGTGAAAACAAACATGCCAGAAGTATATTTTGCATTATGAACGAATGACTGAAACACCGGTAACTCCAAATTACTTGCAGTCTAGAAAAGCCATGATGCTGAACTATCCTGTTTCTTATTAATCTGCATAATTTAAACGCGTAATCTGTCAAGATTCTTTGTTATATAATGTGTATATGTCCCCTCTCTTGGTATATGCTATATGCTTACACAAAGATCACAGAACAAGACATAGAATAGTAAATGTTATGATACATTTGGTCAATCGTCGTTTGAAAAACGTGATCAACTACACACATTGATATGGTGCATTTAGAGCATCTATACAGTTTGTCACTTAAAAAAATAAACATAAGTACATCGTCATTAAATTAATCATTCCTCCGAGAATTGATTTAGGTGCAACATGCTGTTGTTCGCTAATTAACATACCATGTTGGAACCTCAAAATTGTTCGTAAGTTTATCCGACGCCATTGTGATTGTTCTGCCCCCTGTGAATGACAATCGCGGGCGAGTAACTCTAGTTCACCACCATCGCCTACCGCTAGAAAAATAGATATTGACTGGAATTTATGTTTTGTTAAATAAACAAAATAATAATTAATTTATTAACCGGTTATTTGTTAATTATATTTTTTAAGTTATTCTATATCATCATATATATATTTACTAACGTTTCACGTTAAAAACACAGGTTCGAATCCTCTGGTTTCCCCGTTCCCATGGAAACGAACTCAATGAAAGCGTTATTAGGCTTCCTTTTTAAAAATAGTCCATGCACTATTAGAATATGATTAATGTGTTGTAAAAAATAGAATTACTCCCTGTGCATCATCTTCGATAATCTCCAGGGTATACGTTACGATGACTCTCCACTATAGTTGAGGATGCCTGTGCATTTGATAATTAGTTCTTGCAGATTGAACCAGGTCCAAATGTCATTCAAATGACCCAGCTGAATCCGACAAAACCTTTCTGCAACAAGCGCTGATGAATATGGTTCGCTGTCTTATTTCACTATTTCGAAAGAGGCACGTTAAGAAATACACATTTGGATTGCACGAATTATTAATACGCTTCATGAGAGAATGGAGATAAAAAACGGGTTTATAATCGAGATGTCATCAATAAATTACACTGTTAAAATGACTTTAGCCCCAAACGTCCAACTTACATGTATAATATATTAGAGATAGAGTGCATCTCTAATATTAATCAATGTCATGAATATATTCATTAAAACGTGAATTGAACCAGGGAGACTACATAAGGTATAAGGTAGAATATCCTTGATTGAACGTAGACTCTCTCTCTCTCTCTCTCTCTCTCTCTCTCTCTCTCTCTCTCTCTCTCTCTCTCTCTCTCTCTCTTAGAACAATAGGATCCAACAGTATCATATAAAAATAAAAACACGATATCAAAGTCAACTGTTTTACACATACATTTACAAGAATGAAGCGGAAACATTAATCATTATACGGGCCACACAACCCAGTGATCAACAGCATGAGCATCGATCTACGCAAGTGGGATACCATGACTCGTGTCAACCAAGTCAGCGAGCCTGACCACCCGACCCCGTTAGTCGCCTCTTACGACAAGCATGGGTTGCTGGAGACCATTTCTAACCGATCTTCAATCATATTATAACGGTGTCATAATACACGGCATAATCGAGGCTGTGTCAATATACATCATAATATACATCATTATATATGTCATGATAATCAAATGGATAAAGTTGGGTGAGTGAAGACGCTCGCTTATACAATCTTTGAGTTTTCTTACAGAAATATAGTTGTACCACCTCAGGGGTTTCATTCATTAAAATGGGCTGGGCTGGGCTGGATGATCTATCAGAGTAGATTCCTGCAATATTATTTAAGGACTGGTATGAGTAATTTTTAAAACTTTAAGTTTTCTATACATATATTGTCAAAATGTTGGTGATATGAATTTGGGTAATATAACAAAAATAATACCAACATCCTTTGATAATTTCACACCTCAGAGAAGGCAGTCAGGAGAACGAGGGATTCATTTTGGAATTGTCGGAAGTTTACAATCATTGGAGGGGGACGTTCTTCATACCCCCATGGATATCCGGGATAACACTGACCCTGGTGAACATAAAGATGAGGGCTATGCTACTACTGCGACTCAAGTTAGGAGTGAGTGAGTGAGTTTAGTTTTACGCCGCACTCAGCAATATCCCAGCTATATGGCGGCGGTCTGTAAATAATCGAGACTGGACCAGACAATCCAGTGATCAACAGCATGAGCATCGATCTGCGCAATTGGGAACCGATGACATGTGTCAACCAAGTCAGCGAAACTGACCACCCGATCCTGTTAGTCGCCTCTTACGACAAGCATAGTCGCCTTTTATGGCAAGCACATGGGTTGCTGAAGACCTATTCTAACCCGTATCTTCACGGGTCTCAAGTTAGGATGCCAAGGACAATTGTGGGTGTTGATGGAGAGGATATCTGAGTAATGGAATAATCTATAAACAATGCAACATGTCAACCGTTATCCACGTCGAAGGATGCGGTCTTGCGTCGTATGTACCGTTATCTATGAGTTTATCAACATGTGAAATGTACACAGATAACAGTTTCCGTGACTGAGGGCGACGCACGTCGCCATGGTTCTTTTTCAAATCCTTCTAGTCCCTGCAGAAGCCTAATGAGCTGTGTTTACAAGTAGGACCTAGTCTCAACTATGGAGGGGGTGGGCAGTGGAAATGGTGACTGGGGGGAGTCTGTGGCTGTAGAGGGAAACGACGACATCGTGTTGACTTCCGACGATGAAGAGGATCTTGAAGCGTTCGAGTTGTGGATGCAGGAGCCAGTTACAATGGATTCAGACGAGGATGTAAACTCGGAGATACTTGACATGGACCAGTGAGTTGATTTTTTACCATATGATGTTCTTCTTTTAAACCAGTGCTAGTACCATAGTTACATAATCATACCCGTGAAAATGCGAAACTGTTCCATATACGATGGCGGTAAAGGAAACAAAAAGTTCACCTAGTTGACATGGGATGGCTGCTGTGTCGTGTTCACGTGAACAAAATGACGTTAAACTAAAAGGGGTACAGACAAATATGACAATATAATATCATGTTTGGTGAAATATCAGGGTAAAAATATCCTAAAACATGAAATTAAGGGAGAGGTGGAGAGGTTATTCACAAGTCCCGTTTCGGTTAGTAAACAAATACAGCCTGTGCAAACAGGGAAATAACTAGTGCGTGAATGAATATACTTGTTTCCCGCCTGCATTACACCACACTGGTTACATTTGTATGTTTCTTCCATTTTGTAAGTGTGAGTGAAGTTTTCTTGAAGTTCTCATTTGTGATGGCAGTAACAATGAAGCATGACTTTGAGTATATGCCATCATTTCCTTATTCATGAGAGAAGCATCGAGCATAACATAAACTAAATGGCCTGCATGTGACACAGCACAAAGATGATGATCATGATGAGCATTATGATGAGCATAGGCGGATCCAGAGGGGGTGCAGGGGTGCGCACCCCACTTTTGTGCTGAAAGTTTGTTAAATGACCATTGAAACTCGGGTGAAATTGAAGTGTGCACCCCTCCTTTTCTCAATAGTGTGCACCCCCCCTTTCTCAAAAAGCTGTATCCGCCCCTGCTGAGGGAGTTCTACGCCGCTCTTTTGCAATATTCCAGTAATATGTTGACGGGGGACACCACGTTGTACCCATGAGGGGAATCGAACCCGGGTCTTTGGCGTGACGAGCGAAAGCTTTAAACACTATAGGCACCTCACCGCTTTTAACGACGATAATGATGATAATGATGATGATGTATCGGTGGTAGTGATCATCATACATATCTGCATGTGTGAACTGAAGTGTTGCATCATGCGGTACAACCATCTGTACCTGTATGTGGAAGTTGCGGTGGTAGAGCGGCTGACTTTGAGTGCTGGCGATTAGGTGTTTGACTCTGAGGGTGTGGGTTCGAATCCCGGATGGGACTCAACCCAACTGAAAACCATGAATGTGTAATCATATGTACGCATGTGGTTGTTGATATCCATATTCACGTTTGTGCGTATATGCAAGATGGGATCTAGTTGAAGTCGTATTTCAATAAACAGTGCAACATCACTGACCGTTCCCTCCAGAGACAGTGTGCGCTCCATGTTGTTTAACGTGTTTATTTCTGGCGCGACACTTGCCGAGCGTTGCCCTTTCCTTGTTCCTGTGATGGCGAGCAACCGGCGTCCCAAGTACGCGACCTGCGAAGGCTTGTCTCGAGTACTTACGTAATTTGACTGGCTAAGATTCAGTTTTCGTGTATGATTAAATTATGTGAACCTGCTCAGTTCGCATAACTTTAACGGCTGACTTTCAGTACTCATTAGTTATAACTTAAACATGCTGAAAACACTCAGATCATTTCTGTACCAATTATTTGAGGTTTTGTCACATTTTGACTGGAGTGTTATATCTCTGACTAGATACTTTGTGTAGTCGACCCGTGAAGATCCGGGTTAGAATTGGTCTTCAGACTATGCTTGTCGTAAGAGGCGACTAACGGGATCGGGTGGTCAGGCTCGCTGTCTTGGTTGACACATGTCTTCGCATCCCAATTGCGTAGATCGATGCTCACGCTGTTGAACACCGGATTCGTCTGGTCCAGACTCGATTATTTACAGACCGATGAATAAGATGAAATTAAGATTGCGATTCCTTATAATTTTACCTTGCCAACTGACCATTTAAATCTCAGAATTTTATTCAACTTAGGATAAAAGTTGTTTAACAAACGATCATAGTTTCAAATCGCTATTATTGGTTTGTATTACAAGGGTGTATGCACATTAAATGAAACCCCGAGAACAAGTAGAGTTGGTCTAAGTTAACGCTCATCACGAACTGCACGTGCATTTGTTTCACTGTTCCATCTACTGCGCTCACCCCCTTGTAATACAAACCAATAATAGCGATTTGAATGTATGATCGTTTGTTAAACAACTTTTGTCCTACAATGAATAAAATTCTGAGATTTAAATGTTCAGTTGGCAAGGCAAATTTATGTGGATTCGCAGTCTTAATTTCACTTTATTTGATTTACTTTTTTGTTTAAAGTGAAATTCATCTGTACGTTTTCACTGCAAACAGACTATAAGTGAAAACGTTTAAGGTGATCACCATTTTAGATCTTCAAGTATATATATCCCCATTCCATTATGATATGTACCCTGGATCCATTCACCGCCATATTGATTCGTTCTGAACCTGATTCGGACGGCATGTCGCTTGTCAAGTTACTTTTTCAAACAAATTACTTTCATTAGCGAGTTAAGTTCTCTACAACGTCAGGCGTAGGAGCGAGGTGGTGACTTGCCTTCCAAAACTGAGAAGATATGCCGTCGAATGGCTCGAGGTAGTTGACATAATATAATATAGATAAAACACATGGGTTAATCGAAGATGGATAGTACACAAGACAATCGTGTTGCAACTTTTCGAGGAAGTATTTAATACATCTATAGTTTATATTGAGCGTTCTTATGAGGCTGAACGATCAATAGACTAGTTCATACTGAGTGAGTGTAGTTTTAAGAACTAGTTTTAGGAATCTTCCAGGAATATTACGGCGGGGGACACCAGAAATGGGCTTCACACATTGTACCCATGTGGGGAATCGAACCCGGGTCTTCGGCGTGACGAGCCAACGCTTTAACCACTAGGCTACCCCACCTCTCCAGACTGGTTCATAACGGATGCAGGCTTAAACGACGCCATTTTTGTCAGAAAAGGTCAGAGGTATATGTGTAGTATTATATACATGTATTAATCTGTCTCAAAGTCCTTGAACCACATTATTTTCCAAGACGCCCAGCAGTTTCTGCTGGATGTGGGTTCGAATCCCATTTGGAACTCAACCCAACAAAAGTACTAGAAACTGTACTGAGAAAGTGTAATCCCAAATATATCATGTGTTACAGGGCAGTTTTGTTATCATCGTCGCGGTGACTGTATCATTTCTGTTGTTGTCAAGGTCCATTCAGTCCATCGCATTTCTCAAACCACTGGTCATGCAGCTGGGTACGGGGTCAGCATGCATCTGCTACAGTGGGAGATTGATCGTCATCCCTGAACATTTGTCAGTCTTCAAGTATTTTATTGTGTGCCTAGAGGCCACATTAGCAGTTTCATTACCAGTTTGCCCTTGAATGTGGATATAGCTATGCGTTGTATATTTCATGAGTGTGTTTTAATACCAAAGTAGAAAAACATGGTCCCATTTTACAAATATGTTGAACCTAGATTTCGTTCATCACAAACGATGACGAATGTGTTATTGTTAGTTTGATTTGTTTATTTGTTATTTTTGTTGTTGTTTTTGTTTTTCATAACGCTAATGTTTATGCTTTTTCTCATTTCTAGATCTGTAAGAACAGGCATAATTTTTGCTAAAACATATCTCTCTTATGTATAAATGGATCGGAGCAGTGATTTAAACATGTTGAAGCAATCGATAAATATTCGGGTTACTGTTTAAGTTTAAACGCCCCAAATAAAGTCTAGCCGGTGTTTTGCATGGAGTAGCGAGCCACGTGCTCAACGAAAACGAGGTTGTTGGTATATATTCTACTTCCGGTATGAGATGAGCAACGGGACGAGACAAAAGGCTGCTGGTGTTATTTGTATGTCTGTGTTTTGCCGACCGGTTTTCAGCATGATAACAGATTTCTAGCAACCGCACCCACGTCTGCCTGGATATGCATGTGTTGTGACTAACACTAGGTCAATAACGGTTGCTGACGATTGAAGGTCCGAGGTAAACACTTTGACATTTCTTGAATACTGCAACATTCAAAAACAACAGTTGCGGGCACTGAAGGTAGTTCATCCTGAGGGCGATCGATTTCCAGTGTACATTCAATAGCAATGGCAGTGACATATGCACAGATAAATGATTGTCATAATGTTGACAAATTAGTCAATTATAGCGAGAAACATTTTTGAATAGATGTATTTCTGATAAAAAAAACCCAGACACCTCGGAAATAACTGTCAAGATTATAAAAGCAAGTGTGCATGGTTTGCAAATCGTTTGATACTAATATGTTTGTTTTGTCGTGTACTTTCATATATTTCCTATCCCACGGCATGCTTTGTTTTGATTTAACCATCATGTTTCTGTTGTCAACACAGACTAACCATGATGACAATGACACACAATGGTCTAGATTTCACAGGCATACATTTGATATGTTTTGTAAATTGTGTGTGTTTATGTGCTTGCTATATACCAGAAATGATATCAAACAACATTTGTCAGATCAAACCACATGGAATGTGCAACAGATGGATCTGTGATATCATTTCGTTACATTGTCAGTGCCATTATCAGCTGATAATGTCACATCGATATGGATTTGTGCCATTTTAGAGTCTCTGGCAGAATTGGTGTACCAAGGGTAAACAGTCATGAAATGAGAGGAACAGAAGGGACTGTACTCCAGATTCCGATGCCAAAGTTTCAATCTAGGCCTAGACATTGTAATTAATGCCATATGTGGACATGAGACATTGCCTCTGTGTAAGGGTACTTGTAGTCTGTCTCACAGTCCCTGAACCACATTATTTTCCCTAATGGAGTAATGCCAAGCTCTTTCTGCAGTGCTAAAGCCCTAAATAAAGCAAGTCTAGATTTCCCCAGGTTCAGGTTCTGAATCTCTGGTCTACCTAGGGCTCCTTTTCAATATAAATGGGCTTGTTTGTTACTATCAAAATTATATATATTCAGAGACTAAGCATTAGTCTAGGGTACTTGTAACTTCTAGAGTCAATACATCATCACTCATATGTATCCAGATACTGTGTTTAGCAGACTGACAGACTAATACAGTGAGTTTTGAATGACTTGAATCCCACTTGCATGGAGTGGGGGTGAGTCGGTGCCAAGTGAGCCAAGCCTAGTCCCTCTTTAATAAGCCTGTGATGTGACCTTCACATCTGCTGGATAAATAATACAAAGGTCACTGCATCATGTCAGTGGATGACTGTTTCTTGCCACGTTCACACTTCCTGTTCATTAATGAATGTTGCATGTCAACATTCCAAATGTGGAACACGATTGCTGTTGATGATTGATGATAATCTTTTAATCATGATAACCAATATAATTGGTTGATTACCCAGCACCAGTGCAATGACGGATTGGTAGAATCCTTAATTAACTGATATTTTATATCAAATGTGTATTTAAGATATATAATGTTTCTGTTGATCAGCAACAATTACACATAATAAACACATTCCTGATTTATAACATCTTTATTTATGGACATGTTTTGAAAGGAATTGTGCGTTGCTGCAGCGTTGACATTTTGATTTTGGAAAATAGCAGTCTATTTAAAATTATGATTTATTTGTTTTGAATGAATCCCTGCCAATCCCTTATGCCCTGTTTGCAGGAACTATTAGAAGTTCAGTGGAATGTTGACTAAATTACAGATAGAACAAGTATATATGGATGACACCTTCTTTTATTCTAGAACACATATCCATATATACTTGTTCTATCTGACTTCCAACTTCTACAATGCCGGGGCGGTGGGGTAGCCTAGTGGTTAAAGCGTTGGCTCATCACGCCGAAGACCCGGGTTCGATTCCCCACATGGGCACAATGTGTTAAGCCCATTTCTGGTGTCCCCCGCCGTGATATTGCTGGAATATTGCTAAAAGCTGCGTAAAACCAAACTCAGTCAGTCAGTTCTACAATGCCACTTAAAGAAGACTAAATTAAATTACTCTTGACAACGTAACATATGTTATATTTGGGATTACACTTTCTTAGTAAACATATGTTACATTTGACCACTTTCTAAAATGGCATTGTGTTTTTCATACTCTTGACAAGCCTAAAAGGTTTTCTTCCTGCTTTTGTACAGAACGAAACTACAGGATAAAGAGCTTATGCGTCAGTTGATTAGTTTGTTTAATCAATGTTTGTAATACAGCTGAGTATCTCTGAAATCACATCACAAAATATATATTATGATACTGACTGGCCTGATTTGTATCACGATACACCACATCAAATGGTAAGAAATAATTAACTCACTGAAATACAACAGGAAAACTGAAAATTTAGCAGACACATCAACAACTGCATTTTCCAGCATGCTAACAGGTGACGTTACACTACGTCCACAGTTACAAGGCTAACTCCATCTGTTCCGGGTCTGTTTATGATGATTCATGATCCCACAAACTGACAATTGAAGTATCGTCTGTACCAATCCTGCAACGAATACATTGTGAGGGAAATACAATATCTCTCACAAATACATAGTATTGAATACAAATATATATTTATTAATTACTTCACATTTAAAGTTACGCAATTAAAATAACAAACCTGTCATTGCTTAGGTTGAAACATTCCAATGATAATGTCTGTAAAACAAAAAAAGCTTATAACCTAATGCCGCCTAATGCTAAGGGCCTCTTTGGTAAAATGACAAAAGTTATGGTACTGCATGGCTTGGATATACTAGTATTACATTTTGCGTATCTCATGCTGATAAACAGCAAACTAGTTGCCAGCAAAAACACTATGGTAACATTTTTTTGTAAATATTTGATTTTAGTGACCATGAATAATGAATTTATCTCTTTAAGAGATACAGTTTGATTTACCGAATATGTAAGTGAATCTTAGCAGGACTAGTCTGTTCATAAGAATTGATGACAGCGTAGGTATCAATGAATTGTTACATTCTCTCTAAGTATCCATACCTGCAAATACAGAGTTAGAAACGGTCTTAAGCAACCTATACTTTTCATAAGAGGTGACTAACTGGATGGGGTGGGGGTGGGGTCAGGCTTGCTGACTTTGTTGACACATGTCACCGTGTCCTTATTGTTTAAATCAATGCGCACAATGATATTTGGACGTCACAAAAGAAATTAACTTTTGTTGTTTTTTAGCTGTCTACATAGAAAATCGTTGTATGGCATTCATAAGTAATACTGATCAAGGGGGAAATTTATTGATGTCAACTTGTGTGATTTGTTGAACATGACATATAGTAGTAGACAGGATGGTGGTACGGGACCAAGGTAGCTAAAGCTTTATTACATAGATAAAGCTTTAGTCGGATACCTTATTTTTACTGTTATTACCTATACAGAAAGCCTCATTTCTAAATAATGCTTTAGTTGGATCAAGTTATCATCCATCAAGTAGTATATCATCTGATTTCATCTATATCCATATGCCTCTATGACACTATGTCACATTGACCTCAACGAAACAGTTTATGATGCCTAATCTCTTTGGTGTTGGTAATAAAGGCTTGCTGGGCCTTTTTCACCCCTTGTTCTATGAAACAAGAGATTCGATCCAAATCTCATAAGTCTGCTGCTATCAGTGAGGACGAGAAAAAAAAGTACATAGAACAAGGGGTGAAAAAGGCCCAGCAAGCCTTTATTACCAACACCAAAGAGATCCTAGGCGATTCACGTTAAACTGTTTCGTTGAGGTCAATGTGACATAGTGTCATAGAGGCATATGGATATAGATGAAATCAGATGATATACTACTTGATGGATGGGCCAGGGAGGGGGTTTGTGAGAGAAGAATTATTGATCGTACCGTATGACACAGTGTTACCTCCCGTCAACACGACATAGATCAAATAAACACTTTCATAGCTTGATCCAACTAAAGCATTATTTAGGAAATGAGGCTTTCTGTATAGGTAATAACAGTAAAAATAAGGTATCCGACTAAAGCTATGTTAAAGCTTTAGCTGACCACCATAGGTAATATTACATGTACATGTACATTCTAACACGACAGCCTGGTGCACCACAAATTGATCGATGAAGTCAAGGTCGTAGTCCGAGATATCCGACCAATAAAGCTTTATCTATGTAATAAAGCTTTGAAAGCTACATTCTGTTTGAGACTGCAGCAATGTCCACAAGTGGGAAAATAATGACATTACACTGTCACAAATAGTTGACAAAATTGAAGGCGTTAAACTCTTGGATGATACAATCGATGACATCACTCTCTCACAAGCTGCCGATGTAATGGAAACTGAATCTGCCGTGTTAGAGGTATTGACGCAATTGTCAGTGTCGAAGATGGGTGAATGTGCAATATTTCCCAGAACTGTATTTTCAATAATTATTGAGTTCCAAAAATTTAGAAAGTACTTAGAAAATGAAGTACTTTGTGACTAATTCAAACGTTTAATGATGTATTTGTCACTGTGTTTCCGACAATGCTGTCATTTTTGTCATTAAAAGAGTAAAACAAATGTTGGTTGTCTTTTTAGAAGGTTTACATCCATTTGAGACAGATAATTATGTTTGTTAAATGTAGGCGTGGCTAAAATTGCAAAGAGCCAATCAGAGAGTTCCTGTTGAAGGCAGCTCAATACTGGGTGTAGCTATACAATACACCACGGCTGAGATCAAATGGACCGCATTCAGAGCATGGGACAAACAGAAGTTGACATCCATAAATTTCAACTGATGTCAAAGGAGATAGTTTGAAATGTTGACTAAATATCCATGTGAGCTGTAGTGTTGTAGATCTGTTTTCATTCAAGGGTAAATATTGTCCCCATTATCTATGTACTTCAGTCTTCATGAGCTTACGAACAGGTTGGTTTCCTGGTAACTGACAGTCGCTGAATATCAGTGAGGGATTACATGTTGAGAGTTCACACACAGAGACAAGGGATATCATGTACAGGTACTGGCGGGGTGCAAACTTTCATTTTTTTCCAACTTTTTATTTGTCTACAGAGGCCCAGATATGCTGCGTATCCAGGTAAAATATGCATAGAAAATTTCCAATTACACATTGAAAAATAATTGTTGCGTACCAATTACGCATTTAAAATGTTAGATACGAAAAAAGTTTAAAACAAATGTGTACGGAATATATTTATAAAATTCGCTTGCGTAATGAAAAAGACATTGATTGCTATCAAGTTGTACTGTTAGTATAGGACTAGTGTTGTAATGTCAGTATAGGATGAGTGATTTTTTATGAAATCATTTCCATTCCATTCCATTACCATTCCATTATCTAAGTTGGTTTTGATTAGGTATGACATAAGGCAGAACATACCTGCTTAGTAAACTTACTCAATGACATAATACTTAGGTGAGTGAAATGACTGAAATACGCATATATTTAAAATGAAAGCAGTAGGTAACGGAATATGAAATACCCACTCAACATTCATAATACCCACTCCAAAAAAATACAGTGGGTACAGTACCCACATGAGCTAAATCTTATCTGGAGCTCTGTGTTTATTTCCAATTTTGACCAATATGATACAAAATTATTAATAAAATAGTTGTATTTTATTGTCAGTGTTGTGAAATTAGAACAAAACTCATCTCTGATTAAAATTTACAGATCTAACATTAATTGATGAAATGTCGTGTTCTAAACATATTTCATTGTTAAGAAAGACAAATGGATTAGGTACCCTATTGCCACAATGTTGTGTGTGTAGTCTCTATCCACTGCAAATGTAAAATAGAAAATTGAGCACTTGTAGAAGCAAACACAAATCTAATTATGCCCATGCTAGGTGAAAATACCACACTAGTTGTACTTAAATAGTTCAAGTACCTTTCTCTTTGATCCAGCTTAACAACTTTGTGGTAATCAAGTACGGTAAGCAAATACTAAGCTCACTGACCCACGACTGAGGTTTGTTAGTAATTGGCAATTCTGAAAACCAGAAACATGCTACAATATAATCTTGGCTAAAAGTGTGTCATTGTATTTGATGTGTAAAACATTTGCACTAGAGAGTATGCACTCGACAGCATGGTAACAGTGAAGTCTTACAGATCGTATCTCGGGTTTAGCTTTGCATAGCATGAAATCAGAATTATCTCCCTTTTACCATATTTCCCTGTTGACATGTCATCCATTGGCATGAGTAGATCAATGAAGTATTGTGAAAGTCTGGACCGACAACAAAAGCAAATTTGCAATTGTCAACCCAGTCAGCGAGTCTGACCACCCGCGTTGTTGACAGTCAGATCAATTTACTAGATAAGTATTGTAACATTAATTTAATCTGAATAGTAACATTAATTTGACATGCTTCAACAAACTAGAATTTGAGGGAGGGCGACAAACCTTTTGAGTGAATACTGCAGTGATACATATTATATTGTATTTGTTGTGTCCACATCTGTTGATATGTTTTCATCATGTTCATGCTTAAATGTGACAGTACGATATTAATCATACCATCTAAGCTTACTGAGTGGCAGATCAAGATGGTACTTGGAAAAGGGTATCCATTTCTCCAGGCTGCCAATAATCTGACCTGGCATCATGTATTTGTGACTTTAGTTTTATCCATCTTAATTAAGTGAAATTGATGTTGATGTTGTTGATGATGATGATGATGATGATGATGATGATGTCAGTAAGATAATACCAGTCAGTAAGATATGTTGTTAAATCACCTAAAAAGGCATTTGTGTAATCAGAGACCTTATAATAAAATAGTCATGGTCGTCTTCATCATCATCATCATCATCATCATCATCATCAGCAGCAGCAGCAGCAGCATCCAGATCCAACTACTGTTTATGCCCCTACTTCCTAAGGCTGTCACTCCAGACACTTGCCCATTGCCCAAGTCTCGTTGATATTTGTTAATTCTAGTCAGTTCAGCTGTTACCAGTCCGTAAAATATCACTGAAAATAATGCTAACAACAGGTTATATTAAGTTATTGTTACAGGCAGCCATGTCATTGTGTCCATCTATAACAAACTTAGTTATTCTGTAGATGTATCGTGTGTACAGACAAAAGAAATTCTATCTACACCTCCAAGGAGTAAATATGAACTAATCCATTAAATGTTCAGAATTGAATTTCCTGTCTTCGTAATAACCATGGTAGCAATGTAACAGTTTCTTTGGCTGTGAATTATTAATATAGTGTTTATGAATTTGATACACTTTTTACGTTAAAAATTTACAATGGCATCACTTACATTTGAGCCGAGGGCAAAACAATTCTACCAGCTTCTTATCTTACCTGCATTAGCATGTTTAAGGGACACTCTAACATCTGGTTTCCATAATCGTTTTAGATACAGGAATTCCTTGTGCATAGTCACCACCCTCTTTCCTGGCAGGAGGAAAATTTCCGATTCTGCTGTTTGATTTGTCAACATGACATTGTAGCTGATAGGCTTCACCCAGTTTTAAATATCTACGACTTGTCACTTTTGGATTTCATTATATGGTTCTGTTTATCGCTTCAACTGAGCCGCTGTGATGTGACTGAAAGCTTCACAACACTCAGCTCTACTACATGCATTAATGCTCACACCTTTAACAAAACGGTCCATTGATGTGTCATCATTGCCTACTACACAGAACATAATATGCCCATTGTAGTGATGCTTTAGCTATTGACTAACGCCAACAGTTGGTGTGTGTAACTTGTTGTAAAGCCACAGCCGATCGTATGACATATAAAACCATAGCTGTTGCTCACTAGGAAACAGTAACTTGTCATGAACAGAAAAACATGTTATGCTTGTATTGTAACACTGATGCTGTAATCATGGTTGTAGACTGCACAATATCAAGTAAAAAACTAATTTAGTGAAGATTAGCTATATTTTATGTAATTGAAGAACTAATTATTTATGTCACAGAGATACAGATAAGCTGCGTATCTGCGTAAATTACGCAAATATTTATGTGAAAACTCAATTCCTATAAGTCTATTGTGGACAAGTACGCTTGAATTTTTGTAAATGCTCAATAAATGTGATCTAACATGCATACACACAAAAATGTCAAATCTTAGCTTAATAGCTTGTGTACCTGTGGATAGATAAAATAAGTGAGGTATATTGAGAGGTTCTATTTCAGGAACTTGGCAACTTGGATTCATTGTTATTGTTTCTCATATTATAGATCAAATATAAATAACAAACACTAACATTTAAACTTTATTATAGTTTTAAAATTAATTCAAAATGGCAAAATACCCAATTGAGTTTGAGTTACTCAAAGGTTACTCAAAGGAAAATTAGCATACCCAATTGCAATGAACACAAGGGAGTACATAACTCAATGACCCAAAATGTTATCTGTTGTTCTGTCTTTGTACTGATAAACTTTGAGGTGAGATACCTTAGCAGTTAATGCAGCCATGTCAAAGGTTAGGCTCAATTCTCCACACTTGTTCAATGTGTGAAGCCCATTTCTTGCATGATCATCCTCATTCCCTCCTCTTTTAAGGCCCCCAAATGTTGTGGTTCCGATTACCCGACCGACGATTGAATTCTGGTGCCGACCCAATTTTTTTTAGGGGAATGAATAAAATATGCTTTCACATCTCATTGTTTTTTCCTGGCACCAACAGATATCGGTCATTCTGATAGAGAAAGTTCATATGATGGCAACAAGCTTGATTGAATAAACAATTACACATTAATAAATGTTTTATTAGTTTGTACTTTACTTGTAAAAAGAATATGTAAAAAAAAAATCCTACCTACCTACCCTAAATTTTAAAGAGGTGTAATCGGAACCACAACAGTTATTTTATTTGGCCTAATTATTACCATTTTCCTGATCAGAACTACAGGTATTATATTGATGGCATGCACCACTATGTGGAACCCTGCCCATCATTTACCTGAATAAAGCTCTATATATATTGATCATGCTGTAAGCACTCAATAATTATTGATCAGGATGTCTATTCTAAGCAGTTGTTTCCCAGTCCCCTTCCATCGGTCAGCCCATGGGTAGTTGGGGAGAGGAGGTCCCCCACGCCGAGACAGGGCCCTTCACTGGCCCCTTGCACTGTTTACTGAAGGACCGGGCGTTTATCTACAACTCAGTCAATTACATATTGATACCAGGCTGGCCTGTTTTGTTAGTACAGTCATAAAGTGCCACCAGGAAACGTGCTAACAAAACAATTTATTACGGTTTCATATAGGACTTGAATGGCCGATCACTCATCCCTCAGCTGTGTACCATGGGACTTAGATAGCCGAAGTGCTGTACGGTTGACAGGGAGAGTGGGCACGCTTGTCACGGAACTTAGATCACCGGCACTTTTGCTTCATGTTTCTGTTGGACTGTAAATGTCCTTGATGAATAGTCTGTTTTGATCATGACTGATACACAGGCAACTTGAGCACAGGATGCTTTGGATTAGGAAATTCCCTTCAATGTAAGTATATAGCTTTCAGTCTTGGAGCTCTTGCAGTATTTGAAGTTAAGGAAAATATTCATGGTTAATTTGTGACAGCTTCATGAACTGGTGCCTATTTCTGCCTTGTTCTTAACATTGTAAATAATACCATATGTTCAATTAAGACATACCTCTGAGGATTGAGGCTTTTCTCTTTGTGTTTAATAGATAGGTGTTAATGTTTTTTAACTTTGAGATGAAGAGCGTGGTATTTCAGGATCTTAAACATTTCCATGGATTGACATATTAAACTATGTTTAATGCGCCCTTATTGTAAGACGTTATTGTTCAAGCTGTCTGCTGTCAAACTGTAAATAGCATCACACAAACTCTCACATAAGTTTTTTTTAAACAATGAAATTTTATATCTATCTATCACTATTATGGAATACTGCTGCCAAGCATCACTGACTGTGAATGAAGTCGGCAAAGATACAGCATTGCATTGAAGCTAAAAGGGATTTATTCTGATTTTATAACAGGTTGTATATTAATGCTATTAAATAGGACATGCATGTAACTCCATGTGTGACATCAAAGCACTGCATGTCATTACAAACAATGCCTATGCATATTTATAATTGAGGTACAGTTCTATAGGTGCATGTGTATATCTGGTTGTTAAATTGACATACTAACATAAAGATATTTTACTGTATCCTAAACATTTTTGTCCATGAATAAATAGTGCGCTTTAAAGCCAAGTGGTTAAACGTTTGCTTTACACAGAAACCCTGGGCTCAATTGCCCACGTGGATAGAACATGTGAAGCTACAGTGTTTTCTCTATCATATTGCTGGAATATTGCTAACAGACAAATAAAACCCAACTCACTCACCAATATGTAGTTAAAATCTATAACTTTAATAGCTCTCACAAATATGGGCCTGTAAAGTGTTAATTTTATGTGCTAGTTGTAAGTTAATATGTGTGCCAAGTGTAATAGAATGCACGCTAACCTTTTTCAGTTGTTAAGTTTATTTAATCGTCTATGTACCTATCTCAGAAAAAAGTACTCCAACGAACAGCTCAGCAATTTAAAATGTCATAAAGCTCAAGTTACTTTATTTTAGAACCTCACGAAGACAAGGAACCTTAATTTCATCACTGCTAGTGGTAATATCAGCATAGCTTCTTTAAAGTGTTTAATGTCGACATCCCTTGAAGACATACTAGTATCAGATACATGTCAGCTGAACTCTAGGTACATATGTACTTATTTGTGGAGGTTTTCTAAGAATATTCAAGTTTTGAATATGAAAATTCACATTAGAAAGATTTCATTGTTCCATTTTTCTTTCTGGATTGATACATCAAGTAGGTTTATGCAAGCTGTCTCGTGACGAGTGAATTATTGGGCTGCATGTTGCCGACTGCTGTTACACGCTGACTTATAATGTAACATTGAAATGACCTTTTAACATTCAGGCAGGCATGCTGTTGTACTAATGTCTAGAACTAAGCGGAATCATTTGACTTATAAGGGTACAAATGTGGAAAGTTAATGAATTGTTAAAACAATTTTTTGTGATTATTTATTAGGACTGATTTTATTAGGATTATGTGCATGTATAGTGAAAATATAGAACAATGTCACAAAATATTCAATTAGAAACTTGGTAATTAGCATTTATCAGGGTGCAGTTTCGTTTTTGGTTTATCATGAGGTTGTTGCAAAAGTATTATTGTTCTACATGTTGAAAATAATCACATTTGTGTGTTATTCATATGGAATTGAATTCAATTATTTATCTGTAATGTGAACATTGACCTGTAAACAGTGTTTTACCTGTTAATGCATCATTAACTAATATCACTGGCTCTAACTTCAGAATTCCCTATGCCGAACTACTAAGTGTTTTAGGGTAGATAGATGTTTTGTCAGGATTCAGATTGAGTTAGTCAACAAATGGCAATAATCTGTGTTGTAAGAAGCAACGAAATAGAGAGAGTAGCTTGGTGACTTTGTTTGCAGGTCATTATCAATAATGTTGAATGGTGCTCATAATACTGATCACAAAACTTGCAGTTCTTACTTGGTTACAGGGGTGGAAATAACCCATTGCCCGACGCCCGAGTCCAGTGTTTTTTTCTGTTGGGCAAGCAAATTTGTATATCACACTATACCAGTGTCCAGTTGACTTTCCAATATTAATTATGTTGTATATTTCAAAAATCAACAAGAAAGCGGCCGGTATAGTGGAAAAATTATCAGGGCAAGTGATTTTACATGTGCCACTGTAGCGGAGTACACTAGCAATTTTAAAGTTATTTCCACCCCTGGGTTATTTACAAACCAATACAATATGACTTGAATATTGCTGTCTGTAGTGTTGAACAAGAGAGAAAAGAAAAGTTGTCTATTTCTATGTTAAACTTTGTTCTATAGCCTATTGAACATGTTATCTTTTTGGTCACATGAGACTGCGTCTGTGGTTAGGTTCATCTTTTACTGTTTGATTGACATAGAACCTAAAAATGTCCAATTTGTAGGACTTGAATCAGGATCACCCAGACTGCAATCTGATCTCAGCATAGTAAGTTATTATCATTGATCAAGTATCTACAAAAAAGCCTTGTTTTCGCCACTTCAAATATGCCAAAGAACTTCCCTCTCTTAGATACACATCTAAGAGAAGTGCCCCCAAACTTTGTGTCAGCAGTCCCAACACTGCACCATTTTCAGTAGATTTTAGTGTTTTTATATGAACTTTTACTAGTCTGTCACTTTAATTAGACACTAATCAGAACAGGAGTCTAGGAAAATTCTGTGTGTTCTAGTAAGCTCTGCTGATAGTGGTGCAAACTGTATACAGGGCTCCAGATAAGGGCCGTATCGGCGTATGTACGGATAAAAAATATGCACGGTAGGAAATAATTTAGAAAACGTAGCAAAACACACCACAGCAATGGTGTACGGTCTTAGAATCACTTACTATCTTACACTTTATCTGAAAAAGTATTGTTTTATTGTTTATTGACCTGTTTACACAGGAGTAGCAATGTTGTGGTGGATGTATGAAACGAAACACAAGATTACTGATACTCCATCAATTTCCATTCAGTAATCTAAATGTACCCTTAGGTTTTCCAGTACTCCTATATTGAACAAATAAGGAGTACGTACTCCTGATGTTGAAAAGTTATCTGGAGCCCTGTGTATATAACGGTGAATTCTACTGAAACTGATGCTAACACAGACTGTTGGTAGCTTAGCTTTCTGGACTGAACAGAATCTTTTAGACTTGGGTGTTGACTAGTCACACATTAAGTTGAAAATTCATAAATGCTTTCTGTCAAAGAACATTACTACAGGTGAATACTAGTGTTGGGAATTGGTTAAAATCCCATAATTGATGATTGGCTCATTACAACCGATCAATCATCGAAAATAATTGGTTCGCGTCATTTATGAAATTTTCCTGGTTATTTTTGTTTGCGCAAAAAGAAAAAGAATAAACAATATAGTTCTTTGATATTTTTTTTTCAAATTGCACATCATTAAAAGGTGCCTAGTATGTTAGGAACATTAATTTCTTGGAGTCTTTGAGATAAATTCAATCATGACTTGGAACGAGCTTGTAGTGCTTATGAAATGTAACAGACAAAACCAACCTTGTGAAAAATGTTGTTAATGCAAAAAGTTTTTCACAATTGTTTGTGTTCGATTATGAGAAAACATGATCGATTGCTTGGTCGTTTAGTCACTGCGACCAATCTTCGATTATTTCAATTAATCGGACCACCACTAGTGAATACACAGTGCCTTTTAGAAAGTGGTCAAATAAAATGTTATGTTTGGGATTACACTTTCTCAGTGAAGTACAGGTTCTAGTACTTTGGGGTTGAGTCAAATCCAGGATTCGAACCCACAATCTTAGTGTGATACAGGTAATTGCCAGGATACAAACTACAGCACGATGTGAGCTGGTGATTAGGTGCTTTACCCCCATAGCGTGGATTCGAATCCCGAATGGGGCTCAACCCCAAAAAGTATTATGAGTCTAATTCCAAACATAACATATATTTTGTTGCACTGGTGACAAATCCTGTCAAAATTCGTAAAAAAGCTATATCTGCTCACCTGGTTGATACAGAAAATAGTTGCTCGATGCCTTTGCAGTCTGCTTGCTACAATGTGTGTCCTCCATTGTATCATTGTACTGATTGTATACATTTCATAACTCCCGGTGTGATAACAATACCAAGTGTTATTACAACTGGTTATCATGTAAGTTTTGTAACATAACCACCATGTCCCCTGCTGTGCTTAAGCTGATAATATTCAAGGATTATGTTCTCTGGTCTGAGAACGCCAAGTGATCATGAACGCCACTGACTGACTACCTGTGGCGATTGTTATGGAATACAATAGTCTAGGTATGAGTTAATTATGCGCTCAAAGGGGGAATTCCTTACTGGCTTGTAGGGAGTGTTATATTGCTGTACATGTCCGCGTACTAACTGGAATGACCCCAATGGCTCGACTGACCAACCCATTTGTTTGCTCTCTGTCGTGAACTAATGACTTGCTTAATTAAGACTTAGTTTGGATATAGTTTGCAATGGATGCCTTCCATTTACAAGTAGCAAGAGTCCAATCTGTTCACCCGAAATCACCCAGAATGAGGTACCCCGATCTCTCAAGATTATGCAAACGATGTCGGTAAGGGTTGTTTATTTTAATTTTATGTTTTAAGCTTAGGTTGACATGGAAACTGTGTCTACAAGGAGTATTTCGTAAGTGAATGCCTTTTTATATATACATGTATATTTGTTTTATTGATATATCGTGTATATCAGCCTGTGTGATATACAGGTATTGTGGGTGATCCAGTTGGCAATGTGTTGAGGGCACATATAGAGCAACTTAGCATGCGTTGTATGGTATATGGATCAGCATTGTGTTGACATGCTCAAATAGGATTATTGATATTATATCCTACTGAAGGTATTGAATATAGGGCTGTATTACTTAGGTGACATTATTTTCAGTTTGCGGATTTGATCGACCTGCGGAAAATGTCGGTCAGACAGTTATAAGAATACAAAACATTTATTTTGTTTGAGAACATTTCCTCTTGATTGCTCAAATTTAAAGCTTCCAAAATCTTTACAGTTGCTTTTAATTTGTAAACTTTGTAGGTAATAACGGACGCACTGCATATTGTTGTTCACCACTGCCGTCTTCTTCTAAAGAGAGCGGGGCGGTGGGGTAGCCTAGTGGTTAAAGCGTTGGCTCGTCACGCCGAAGACCCGGGTTCGAATCCCCACATGGGTACATTGTGTGAAGCCCATTTCTGGTGTCCCCCGCCGTGATGTTGCTGGAATATTGCTAAAAGCGGCGTAAAACCAAACTCAGTCAGTCAGTCAGTTTAAAGAGAGCCATCTTGGGAGTATACCTATGTATATGTATGTCTGTGTATGTATCCACAAGTATATTAAAAACATCTTACCCTTTAACCAATGTTAGCATATATTTTTTCTCTACTTAACCATCCACAACTTTATGCAAAGTTAAATAAAAACATAGTGTTAGTAGAAAAATATTCTCTGACTGTGTGGTGAGTGTGTGGTGTCTATATTGGATGACATGTATTGCCACAGAAACATGTATATGTTCATCTTTGTTTAATCCAGAATATCCATAAAGTGGTCAGCTTTACAAAAAATGTGTGAACATTTTAACTTTCATGTGTAACTTTGGCTAATATTGTGGCATTGTATTAGGTACTTCTGCTGGTCCCAGTAACTGACAGCATCTGAAATTCCCATTAAGGTATTTGTCAGTTTGATTAGGACTAGATAGAAACACTCTTTAATTGTATTAAGTTCATATAATATGAATTCTGGTGTCCCCCACTGACTTTGCTGGAATATTGCTAAAAGCAGCGTAAAACCAAACTCACTCACTCACTCACTCAGATAATATGAACCACTACTTTCCGATTTAAGTTTGTTTATACAGATATATTTGAAACTTCTGTCAATGTGTTTGCCTTGTTTTGACAAATGTGACGGCGAAACTTTTAAAATGAATGCCTTGAGTAGTATAGGACCTGTGATTGAGCCAAACTGTTTTTTACGTCTTAAACTCAAAGTGGCATTCTTGTGAGTGGCTAAAGTGAGCCAGTGTTTGTTGACAAACATTCAGTTGTGTTCAGATGGCAGTGTAACTCCACGTGACATTTCATCTTGTGTCCAGTAAGTCAAGTCAAGCTGCTAATCCATGACCTTCACCTTCACGGTGGCCATTAACAGCTAGCCTCTCTGCGTGTCTCGTCCCTGACGACATCCTTCATCCACCGTCATCTGTATCCACATGTAGGCATGTTGGTCTTGTGATGTAATCTGTGTGCCGGCCAGTTGGTCAGGTCGTGTGGTCACCTACTTCACATCTCACTTTCATCTCAGCCTTCATCTTGTAGCAAGGGATTCCTGGCTCTTGACATGTTTGTCATCCTCTAGGAAATCACAGTTTGGATTTAACGGAAATCAGTTTTTTGACAGCAATTTAATGTTGAAGTATATTTTTCACAATCTGTAGAAATACTAATGATTGAGTGAAAAGAAGATGCTGCAGATTTCAGTCTGTGTTAAAAACATCTTAATCTACTAGCCTGAAATTGTCTCTTGACAGATTTGTCAGTAGATTTTAGGGGTGATATATTATTAACTGAACACATTGGTCTGAACAAAAATATATTATACTTTGGTTTGGGATTAGTTCCTGAAACTGAGTTTTTATGCTTGATGATGATGTTTGACAGATCTTGCAGGTTTGGTTACTAAGGTGAGGATTGGGTAGCCAAGTGGTTGTAGTGTTGGCTTGTTAGGCTGAAGACCACGGTTTGATTCCCAAATTGTTTTCTCAGTAATATTTAGAGCCAGTTTCTTCGGTCATCTGTTGGAATATTCCTGTTTTGGGCAGTAAGATATGTTTAATCATTCACTGTTATAAGGAATCTTACCTTCATTTTTTTTGTCTAGTGACGTCAGGTTGACATGTTTGTGTGGGCAGAGACCTTATACCGGTATATGGTCTCTGGTGTGGGAAAGCTTAGTCTGCAAGACAGATTTTGGAAAATATCAATGTCCAAAAGTTCCTGTTTTCATTGTATTCTCACAAATAATCATTCCATTCCATTTACAGGATGACCCTTGAGGAGGAGGAGGATCCCCCAGGACGAGCCCTGCCCCCCGAATCTGACCCCCCTATCCTCATCAAGCCAATGATTCACCCGTGTGTGGACCCCCCACTCTGTGAGGCCTGCCATCGACAAGAGTTATCCTTCTTTGATCCCGGTTGTCCAGGATGCCGGGAAATATTGCTCAATCCAAACACATCCGAGCCAGAAATCTTTGCCGTCCTCCGCCAATGGACGCCCCAAACACAACAAAATCTGGAGCTGCTTATTGATGAGGTAAGCCACGCCTGCCATAACTCAAAATCCAAAATGCCTTTAATTTTTAGCCATACATTTGCAGATTTTTTACTGAGGGTCTGCTCTATTATTGGGATAGATCAGCCAGTGGGATTGGTCTTCAGATTGTATCACATTTTGCTCGTGTTCAAAGTTTTAGTTTACATATTTGGAAAAAGGAACTGTCATCCCACATAATAATAAATGACCAGTCCCAAAGTAAGTGGTTCACTTGTCACACCAAATACCCGGGTTCTCAAATGGGTACAATGTTTGAAGCCCATTTCTGGTGTCCCCCGCCATGATATTGCCGGAATATTGCTAAAAGCGGGGTAAAACTTGACTCACTCACTCAGTCACTCCTACCATGAAAAAGCAGACACTCCCTGATAGAACTGGAACACTGTATAAACCAGTGTTAAACACTATTCTCTTATTACTGCATGAAACATCTTTCCAGTAGTACATTTACATTGTTTTTGTTGTCATGTGTTTTTTATTAAATTTATCAAGGAAACATTGCAGGAAGCTGTGATTTTGAATGATCACTGATGCCAAATTCATTTTGAGTGGGTTGATAAATTCTTTACAAGTTACTGATTGAGATGGCGGGATAAATCACCCAAAGAGGTTATGCTGCCAGAACGTCTGGGGGATTTAAATAACACAATGGAATTTCATAAAAGGGAGAAACAGTAAAGCAATTGAATAAAATATAAATTTTTCAGATAACAAAACGTGGAGCCAATATCAATGATCGTGATGGCTTGACGGACATGACTCTACTCCATTATGCAAGCAAAGCAGGGGCTGCTGGGATAGGTGACCCTGAACTTGCAGCCAGGGTCGTGAGTTCCTTACTGTCTCAAGGTGCTGATGTCAACATTCGATGCCGGTGGACGAACATGACAGCGCTACACTATGCGGCCTACTTCGATGTGGTGCCGGTTATTAAAGTATTATTAAAAGCTACAAAGGCATTAGGTAAGTGTCATCTTGCTCAATTTAGGTGGCTCTCACTGGCCCCACTTTCATGTTTGCTTGATCTACTGTCCAACCAACATTAGAATGAGGTGCGCGAAAGACGAGTTTGTGAAAGGAGAGTGGGGAGCGTGCCGTGAACTGATCCACTACCTACTCGAAGGGGGAACAGGTGTGAAAACTTCGCGCATGTGATTTTTGTGATCCTTGCAGTTATCACTTTCTACGCAATGATTTGGAAGCGTCGTGTTTCTGCTCGAGCATTTGTATACTAGTATCTTGTAAAGTGGACTGTTAAAAGAGTATTAAACTCTGCAGGTATTTGAAACTTATCATGTCACACTTTAAATTGGGTAAACGTATTATCCATAAAATATTCACACACACAGAACCTAGGCTAGGACAGAAATTAACCTTTTGGTATTTTTTGTATCGTTAAACACATAAAATATTCAAGTGTTGTATTGGGTTGTGTATGGAAATCGTCAACCGCAAAATAGCAAATAGAACCCGAACGAGCGAGAGTAGACTGACACGCTTCATAGCAGTTTATCACTTTACAAACCTTCGGCCCCTTAATGGTAAATGGATTGCACCGCTATTCAGATTCACGGATTCAAACGACAGGTCGGCATTATTCTTAAGTTCGTCTCACAGTATGTATCTATAGCCTGTTTCCTGGATGATATTTCTCCATGTATTCAGTTTGGAGTTGTGGGGTAGCCTAGTGATTAAAGCATTCACTCAACCACCGAGAGTCCTAAGTTCTGTTTTCCAGTGGAATGTATGAATCCTGGTTTTGGTGTTCCTGTTGGCATATTGCTAAATGTTTCATAAAACCATACTCTCTCAGTCATTTATATGTTCAATTCACTAAGAGGTCAAAGCCATTGTTAGTATTTAAGATAGGCCCTTGAGATTTAAAAAGTAAAACTCTCAAAAGAGAGAAACATTCATTTTGAAAATTTACAAGACGAATGCAATCACAATGTAACGCAGCATGATATTTTTTATCTCTTCTCAAAGGTTTGCTTACTTATCTACCATGGTTTTGAAAGAAAGGTGTTTTTTGAGACACAAGTTTGTATATTTTTCATTTGACACTATTTATTCAAATCAGTTTATTGAGATTTCATCAGTTTTCTTTTGTCCTGTTCTCAGAATATCCTGACTGTTTATTTCAGACATAGACAGCACATGTTCCGAGTTTGAACATGGCACAGCTCTCCACATAGCTGCGTCCAACCTTGCTCACGAAGCCGTGAAGGTCCTCCTGCATAACGGGGCCGACCCCCGACTCAAGGATGACCTTGGAAACATGCCACAAGGTGAGGAGGCAACGTTACACGCCAAAACTGTACCGAGATTCCATAGGAAGATCACCACTAGGTTGTGTCAAACTGGACTGTTCTAATAATAGATATTATGAGATTTCAGGAGGGTTGTAGAGTTTTTACCATCATGAGGTTCCAGTAAAGTTTACTGCTAGATACAATTCAGGGACCGAAATAGTGCTTAATTTTAGGGGTAGGTATTTCAGAGAATTGTCATATTGCGATGCGAAAGGATATATTGTAGTATGTATTGCAATATATTGCAAGAAGAATTTTTAAACAAAAATCTACTTATAATCGAGTTAATGCTTGATTTATAAAGCAAATATACAACAAAATCAATATGCTTGATTAAGCTTTAATAACTGCTTTTAATCATGACAAAATAAAAATGTAAATAATATTTAGCACAAATGAAACAAGGAAATATCCGAAGATTTCCGAGTGTTACAAAGTTTTCCGAATGCAAGTCAAAATACCGGGTTTTCTATCGGCGTATCGCAATACGTATCATTTTCATGTCTGAACCGGTTATATTGCGCAGCCCTACTTAATTTGTATAGCATGGTTTGACAGACATGGAAATGGCATGGATGAAATATTTTCAATGTGCCGTGGCGGCAGGGCTAAAATTATGAAAATCATACTTTCCATGATTCATTTTGTGGAGGGGCGGTGGGGTAGCCTAGTGGTTAAAGTGTTGGCTCGTCACGCCGAAGACCCGGGTTCGAATCCCCACAAGGGTACAATGTGTGAAGCCCATTTCTGGTGTTCCCCGCCGTGATGTTGCTGGAATATTGCTAAAAGCGGCGTAAAACCAAACTCAGTCAGTCAGTCAGTCAGTCAGTCAGTCAGTCATTTTGTGGAAATGATGATAAATTTGACTCAAATAATTAAGAATCTATTTTTGCACCCCATCAAACTGTTTATCGGTGGCACTTTCAATCTAGCCCCTTAACATGGGTGTGGTGTGGCCATTTTGAATGACATAACAGGAAATCCCATTTTGGATCATAATGTAGTTTGTGGGTTAGTTTATTGGTCCAGAACAAATGAAGCTGAACTAGGCTGCAGTCTTGATAGTGTTTAAGAAATCCGTCAATTATTTTCACAAAGACACACCTAAATTATTGTGTCCAATAGCATCCTTCGAAATAATAGCATTTCTATCCCTGCAATTGTTAGTGTGCAGTGTGCTGTCATCCTTGATTATCCAGTGTCTAATATCTTCAGTCCATCATGGACCCATGCACAACCGAATAGGTCAACAACAGCATGAAAAGTGAGGTACGAGGTACGCAGCCAGAGTTACCTGCTCTTGGCTGTAGGGGGCCCTGTGAGGGGCCCTATAGGGGTGGTCTCACTAAACATAAGGAGTTTTTTGTTTGATAAAATATTTTATTGAAATATTGTTACAACTGTCGTAGGTTTTCAAAATGGACATTTTAATGCTTATATGTACCCCAAGGAGGACTTCTTCTGAAAAAGAATGTTAGTGTGCAGTGTGCTGTCATCCTTGATTATCCAGTGTCTAATATCTTCAGTCCATCATGGACCCATTCACTACCATAGCTTTGTTTTGACGCTGGTTTATAGGACATTTATAAGACATTCAATCAAATTACATTTGATGTAAAGAATTCATGGTATCAACTTTTCCATGCATGCTGTAGCAAATGAATTAGAATGTCTTGTAGCGATAATATTTACTACGTCTTTTACAGCTATAAATATCCCTTATAGCATTCTTGTGATTCGTCCACATGGGTACAATTTGTGAAGCTCATTTCTGGTGTCCCCCGCCGTGATATTGCTGGAATATTGCTAAAAGCGGCGTAAAACCAAACTCACTCACTCACTCACTCACTCACTCACTCTTGTGATTCGTTTAAATACACAGAAGGCTTGAGTGTGTGAAACTGTGATATTGAATGTAGGTCCATGCTGAACTTATACAATAGGAATTAAGTGATAAGAGAGATGGCACTTACGACAGCACTGCCAAAACGAGTCTTTGGTGGTGAATGTGTTCAGATTGCTGATGGTATAGAATGGAGCTACATTACATTAGGGTAATCCTTCAGCTTGTGTCACCGCCTCCGTGGTGTAGTGTTTAGAGCGTTCGCCCGGAGACCGGAAGGTCGGGGGTTCAATCCCCGACCGCGTCATACCAAAAGACGTTAAAATATGGTACTTGTTGGTCCCTGCCTGGCGTTCGGCATTAATGGGTACAACAAGGACTGGTCAGCTCGGAGTCGTATAATGTGTCTGAGTGGGGTATTCATGCTTCACTGCAGCATGGTATCTCAGTGAGCTAGCACTATAAAACCAGCTTCAGTCTGGGCTAGTACAAACAGCCTCACATACACATACACACGCATGCATTCGTCATATGAGCGAAATATTCTCAAGTACGACGTTAAACCCAATTTCATCTCACCTTCAGATTGTGTCCCGGATCCTGCTGGTTTCAACCAGGACACGGACATGGCCAAACTAGTCAACAAGATCAAGAAAACACTCCAGGAGGCGGCGCCACCATCCCCGAAACAGCCACCTCCCAACTACGACCTTGTCCAGAGTAAGGTCACCCTTCAAGCACTAGGACTCCGTCTCGGGGACAAAGTTCTTGTTGGAGGCTGCAAGGTGGGTACTTCTCCAGGCAGAAGTAGGGAATGTGTATACTCTCCACATGAGATGGTGTGTGGTGATGTGTGGTCTTATGGATAGAACCCAGTTCACAAATTAGTTGATGTTAAGAAATGTTGGTCACGGAGATATCTTGGATGAGTGACCGTGTTTGACTCCTGAGTGTTTCTAGGACTTCTGTCCTGCCCCAAAATGAAGCACATGTGACACATGTGGTCTCATTTTAGGCAACTGAGCTTGTTCAAAATTGCCTCTGTTCACCCAGCAGAAAAAGGGTACCAAGTGGGATAAATTATGACTATTATCTTCTGGTGCCTCAAAGGCAGCTTGGCTTGTCCAAGCCACGGGGCTGTGGGCGGGGATCGAGCTGGATGTACAGACGCTCATGTACACATTATCTGGTTGTAGACTGGCACACTCCAGTACTGTGGGCCGGCGGAGTTTGCCACGGGGGTGTGGGCGGGGATCGAGCTGGATGAACCTGCTGGCAAGAATGATGGCAGTGTTGGAGGCATTTCATACTTCAAGTGTCCACCCAACTACGGTAAGGTCACTTGACATTGTTCATCAATTTGCCTTTTTATTTAGTAACTAGATTATTAATTACTAAGAGATTGGAAAATACATTGTATTACTTATATTGTGATATGTATTGCAATATACTGGATCTGATAGTGACTGACACTGAGTGTACATGTAGATATATGTAGATACAACATGTAGATCCTACACACATTGCTGTGATTTAACCAAGGAGTTACTTTCATTGCAGGAATCTTTGCTCCCGTCAGTAAAATTACCAAACCTGGCCAAGTTCTTGCTTCAAGGGTATCGCCAGGCTCCCCGAGCAGATCACCCATCAAACCAGCCACAGTCAAGGTCAATCACGTGACAGCTAGGGTCGATACAGGTATGTATTACATGGGACACAGTATCTTACTGTGATGATTTTGGCGGCGTTCTTGGTGCTGTTCTTCAGTCATTCCACCTCTGAACACCTGATTGAAAACATGTCCTCACAACTCTAGCGTGGATCAGAAGATGCCTGCCAGTCACATGTGCCTTCAAAATTGGGATAATTACATTTCTGTAAAGCTGGTCCAGCTACCCAGCTCAAATTTCTAGTCACTATATATTTATTTCTACAAATCGTCAAGACATTTAAGATGTCATTTTTAATTTAATGTCAAAGTATGTTACCATTTGCTTTCATTTTGAAGTTTCTCAGACACGCATGCAAAGTAGTAAACTGGTTTGTGCTATACACTGATCAAGACGGATGCATTTGGTCATGGATTTTTCAGCAATGCATGGTAATAAAACACTGCGAATGTCCGACAAACATATGTTACCAAGCAGCCAATCGACTTTGCCAGTGTTTAGTGTAATGGTCTCAAAGCACAATGGGACCAATGTCCCTGATCAGCCAATCCCTAGGTTCATCACTGATTTACTGTCTGTCTGTCGTTAAATGCCACACTCAGCAATATTCCAGCTATATACAATCAAGTCTGGACCAAATAATCCAGTGATCAACATCATGAGCATTGATCAACACATTTAGGATACGATGACGTGTCAACCAAGTCAGCGAGTCTGATCACCCGATCCCGTTAGTCGCCTCTTACACTGATTTACTGGTGTATACAAGTATCTGGAGCCCTGTCCAGTACGGTGGTAAGTGGTGCTGCTGACAAGAATGATGGGTCATGCTCACTAGAGTGCCAGAGTCTCCTTGACAAGGAGCTGAGGAAACACCACTCTGAGACGATGATATATCAGGTGGCAATACATACCAGCATGTCTGCAACACTTCATGAGGCACTTGAACTGATAAAAGTTAACCGAATTTAAGTGGAATATCCTGTCATTGAATCAGGTATTTCATGCTTCTGCAAGTCACCAGTTTCCGTGGGAATCAGTTTACCATATGCTCACAAACAGTGTTTTTGTGATGGCTAGGTGGGGTTGGCACATACTACCGAGCCCATGACTTCAGCAACTCGTGCAAATGAAAATTCTGTTATTTTTGCTAACAATTGTCCATGTGATACACAGGCATGTACAATGTTCTGAGAGCCAAGTTCGGGCTATTGGACTCTAAAGATTTGACACATACTAGCTACTAGTGGTGGTCCGATTAATTGAAATAATCGAAGATTGGTCGAAGTGACCAAACGACCAAGCAATCGATCACATTTTCTTCATAATCGAACACAAACGATTTTGGAACTGCTGTTTTAGTCTTTGAAACACTTGACGAACATAACTCCGAAGTTGTCAGGGCCTGAAAACTTGTTTAATTCTTAGAAAACTCACTTCACTAACTGAAAAGTCATGACTGAATATTTCTTGAAGACCCCAGAAGGTTTATGTTCATGATATATCAACATCACTTTAAAGTAGCAAGGTGCATCATGTTTTACATATCTGCAATAACAACCTGGATAGGAAAATCTGAAAATTGACGCTAACCAATTTTTATCGATAATTGTTCGTTGATAATGAAGCAATCATCAATTATGAGATTTCAACCAATTCCCAACACTACTGGCTACAACTGGTACTCATTTCTATGTTAATGTCTTCAATAACCTACTTCTCAGTTGAGCTGGTAGTTTAATCAAACATTGTCAGCAGGATGAAGGAAGATTGTGTTTGAAATGATGCTGGGGGTCTTGATGCGGTCAGAGTTATGGTCCCTTTTTTTTAAAGCTGTCATATTGAAAATTTCATTTTCCTTCATCCTGAATATTATGTTTTATTTCTTCAAAAATATTGTGAACGGTTTCTTTTGTTTATTTTTATTTCTGAACCTGCTTCTAGTTTTGTCAGAATTCTGAATTCTGTCAAGAGTAACATTACAATTTGGACATTATTCAAATGTTCTTTCGCCTGTCAATAAGATGTGTCTTTATTGTCCCCCGCCACAACGCGGAACGGGGGACTATGTATTCAGCGGTGTCTGTCCGTACATCTGTACGTCCCGATTCTTGTTAACGCGATATCTCATGAACTGTTGTACCCAATGTCTTCAAATTTGGTGACAGCCTACCGGTACATTGGGGGATTACGCAGACACCAGTTGATTTGGGTGACCTTGACCTTGGGGTCTTTTTCAGAATTATTACGTGTTTGGGTCATCTTCATGTACCATCGGGGCGGTGGGGTAGCCTAGTGGTTAAAGGGTTGACTCGTCACGCCGAAGACCCGGGTTCGAATCCCCACATGGGTACAATGTGTGAAGCCCATTTCTGGTGTCCCCGCCGTGATGTTGCTGGAATGTAAAACCATTGCTCAGTGCATGCATGCGCGTGCAAGATTGATTGAGGCGATTCTTTCGCTGCCAATTCCAGAACTCATGTGTCGGTCAGTCAGTCAGTCAGTCGTGTACCATCATGACAGTTGTGGAAGCCATGTTGAAACAAATTATCTCATTACATTCAAATTCTTCGCAATGCACAATGGGAAGGGTAATCTGCAAGGAGTAATTCTGCTGTGCAGAAAGTGAAGTACACTGTGACTCTTTGAGTATTTTACCTCTTGTGATTACATGCTTACCTCTGAGTGTCGGTTTGAAAACACCCACACCCACACACCCATCAACCCCCTAAAAAGCAACTTGCACTTGAATCTGTACTTTACTGAGAGACTGTAATCCAAAACGTAACATAACTTAAATTTCAAATATTTTTTGTTTTTATTTTTGATGTTAGTATTCAGGAAACTATCGGCTTGCTGCAGAACTGCCTGGTCAAAGTATTTAGTTTTTCATGATGTTTCTGAACTAATTATTAATTTCTTGCTGAGGGATTGTGGGAAATAAAATAATGCTGATAACTAGGTAATGCTTTCTTATTGCTTTGATGACTTAACAGCCATCCTCTTTGTCATTCTGAATCTCCTTGCTGAATTGACATGGTGAGGTACTTGCAAGATGGTGGCACATTGTATTGTTTAGCTCACCATTCAGGTGTGGGTGACAGAGTCATGAACAAGATCAGATATGGCTGACAGTCTTTGAATGAAGAGTTCAGGCATCGATGATACAATCATTGAAGAGTTCAGGTAATGACAGTCATTGATGAGCTCGAGTTGGTTGACAGAAGCATTGAACATTCCAGAGGGGACTCACTGACATTTCAAATATTAGTTTTCATAGATTTTGCATTAGTGCACAAAGAAACATTATTGCCATTTCTGGCTTTTAAAATGTTTAAGGTTCTCTCCTTGTGACATTGTTGGGATATAATCAATGTTATTCTCACACCAATACAATGGGAGCATATTGGAGCAGGTGGTAAAAGTTCAGCTGTGATAAATGTCTCAAGCTGTTACATGTCACGTTGTTGGATCCGTCTTCACCTGGTGTCAGCATCTACATTCAGTAGGTCAGGGTCATTCTATACAGCAGTGCTTTATTGGACGACTGTGTGTGTGTCGCCCAGTCTGGGGGGTCTCAAATTTTCAATGCAGAATTGTCTCCCCTGGCTCTTTCCATACACACAGTGTACAGGACTATTGTGTGCTAGGATCATCCAAACACTTTGCCTTGCCTGTCCAATAACACCAATAGCCCCATGAAGATCCGGGTAAGAATTGGTCTTCAGCAACCCATGATTGTCCTAAGAGGCGACTAACGGGATCGGGTTGTTCACTGACTTGGATCACGCGTCACTCTATCCCAATTGTGTAGATCGATGCTCATGCTGTTGATCACTGGATTATCTGGCCCAGATTTGATTATTAACAAACTGCCGCCATATGGCTTGAGTATTGCGGTGTTACAAACCAACCAATAACACCAATAGTATGCTGTTATGCAATTATGATGACTTACTTGGTCACAGGATGTCTAAAGAGGAAGACACCACTGAATACCTAGTACAGAGCAAAATATATGCTCAGAAAATTTTGACTCTTGATATTGTTGCTTTTTTTAAGAAGATCTGGGATGAAGTTGAACTTTAAAAAAATAGTAGTTCACATAGTACTAGGGGTGACTATTGAGGGGGAAACAACTATTGGGATAGCGATAGCGATACTCTATTGCAACATACTATTGCGACCAACTATTGCAGTAGTTTTTCTCTCCTTGAATTGTCTCATTTGAAGTCATTTCCCAAATAAATGTATAGTTTATATGAAATAAAACAAGTTAAAGTAGTTTCAGTCTCTTTTGATAACTGACAAGAAACTTAGAACCCATATCAAGTTAACAGGTAACGGGTGGAAAACTCAAAATCAAAGTGAACGAATCTGGTACTTCCTGTATTCTGCACTGCACATTTATCAATGGAAGTCAATTACTAAACTATCGATAGTCACACATACTATCGATGCATCGATAGTTTTCGTTTCTACCATCGATTAATTGCTATCGGAGACTCAACAATTGCAATCCATCGATAGTTGGATGCATCGTTACAGGCCTACATAGTACTCACATAAAGCTGTAATGTACTAATACATGGGGTATTGTTTCACAAATACCTGATCTTATGATGTGGTGTAATAAAGTTCTGTCACATATCTACAATTCTGTTTGACGATGTGTGGAGGTCTGAGAAGATGCTACTTTTACACGGATTAAGTGTCAAAGTTAACAACCTGGAACATCTGCTTGTGGTAAGACGTTAATTGTGTCACCGAGCGGAGGCCTAGCCTACTGGCTGAAGTGCTTGTTGTCACACCCAAGACCCAGGTTCGATTCCCCACATGGGTACAATGTTTGAAGCCAATTTCTGGTGTCCCCTGCTGTGATATTGCTGGAATATTGCTAAAAGTGGCATAAAATATCACTTGAGTCTTTGTTCTTTCTTCCTCGCCCTTTGTCCAAAAGGTGTCTTATTTTTCACCCTTATGAAATGTTTAAATGAGTCTATTTGTGGTGTTGAAGTTAACAACTTG